CAAACTAAAGATTAAGGGCTGGGGATGTAGCTCAGTGGTGCTGCTCCTGCCTCATAAGTGCAAGGTCCTGAGTTCAATTTCCAGTACCGGTGTCTAGAGCACACCACAGGAAGGATTCCTCTGTGTTACCAGCTAGCACCCAGACCACAGAAAACACGTGGGAAAGGGTGCTTTCTTTACATGATGAAATTATTTTATGTAACTAAAAGGTCTTCCCTAATTGTGTTTAAAATTGTTCTGGCATAAATAGATTTTATAACTTTGAGGGAATGGTAAATACAAAAGCAAACTAATTAAATCTTTTGTACTGATTTTGAATTTTAAAAAAATCAGAATTTTGGAGGGGCTGGGGATTTAAGATCAGTGGTTTTGCCACTTGCCTCACAAGCACAAAGTCCTGAGTTCAATCTCTGATACCGAAAAAAAAAAAAAAAATCAGATTTTTTTTGTTAAATGAGTGTAGATTTTTTTCCCCTCTAAAAAAATACTATAAAGAAAATTTTGAACTCAGACTCTGACAGTAAACATTTCATTAGCTTGAAAAGTGTTTTAAGCATGGCAATCTAGAATAAGACACTGTCATTCAACAAATATTTAATACCTCTCATGTGTCAGGTACTATATAGCATTTACCATTACAAGTGAATTAAGACATGAAAATTTAAAATATAAAATGTCATGCATGGTCAGGGTTAAATTGAGAAAAGTTATTTTAGTATGTTTATAAAGATATCAAATATTATTTTATATTGATAGTAAGTGTAAACTGAAAATCTGTGCCTTAAAAATAACTATATCCTTTGTTTTATTTCTAAAAATGTGTACCAAAAACTTATATGTATACAAAGATATGGCTGTAAAAATTTTCATCACAAGTAATTTATGATTATAAAATTTGGTAGGCTAATAATAAATGATTAAATAGATACTGATATTCTGATAGAACAGAATACCATAAAACTACTAACAGTAAGTTACAGAAAAATAGTTATTGAAATAGGAACATCTACACTTTATTGAATATTGAAGGAAAGGCATGTATCCATATAATCCAGGTTAATTAAAGAGACATATACATGCATAGGAAAAAGGCCAAAAAGCTATCCCCTTGCATTACTAATAGCACTTATTATTTCTGAGTGGTGCAATCTCAAACAATTTTACTTTTTCTTTTTTCTTACATATATTATCAAATTTTTATACATTTACCATGTAACAAAAAAGTCAAAGTTTTTTTTTTAATTAAAAAATGATTCAAAGTGATAAGTCTGAGCTAGGGTTTGTTCTGGAGAGTGCAAGCACTCACAGGAAGTGCCTTGGGTGTGAGCTGAGCATGAGTGAGGGGGAACAGAGCACAGCACTACCATCCCACCCCATCAAAGACACCAGGCGACACGCAGGTGTGTGCACAAGCTCTGGTCAACATGGAAAATCCACCCCATTGCTTACTGTGCCTAAGGTGTTTACCCAATTCCTAAAGAATGGAAACTGTTTCTAAAACAGATGTAATTGATTTTCATTTTTCACTGCAATTCTCCATGATCTATCTATTTTTTTCTAATAAATATGGTTAAAATTTCCTTTTCAGGCAGCAGTGGCTCCATTAAAGTTTTGCTCTTGGCGTATTTTGTTTATGCTAATCTAGAGCTTCTAAGAGACAGGGATTTTGTTTTGCCGGCAGGAATACAGCAGATGCTGTCTAGGTGTCTGCTCCTGTTCTCAAGTCTATCTTATCAAGACCTTGGCTCTTGACTCAATATATTAATTCACAATTTTCTAGTGTGAAATTCCAAACTTAGAAAATAGATTCAAGTCTCCAAAGTAGAACCTCTTAGAAAAATATGAAAAATTGAGTCATCAAATTCCTGCTTTGAAATCAGACACAGAGCCTCCTCAAGGACTCAAGAAGTCGCTCAGGAGCAGCAGTAGGCACGCCTCATTATTAAGACCTGCAATTCAGAAGGAGCCCTTACAGTGGACCTAAGGGGGAGGGGGCTCAGTTCCAATGGCTCAATATTAGGGCCTAAGCCAGTGCCTGACCTCCAGAGTAAAGTCTCTATTGATTTACTACACAAATGCAAGAGTGAGGAATGACAGGAGCCGACACTGTTTCACACAATGATATGAAATACTAACTTCATTGTGGTTTGAGATTTACAAATTAAAGGACAGTGAGGAAAAGCATTTGGTTCTTTTCACACTTGCACCAAACTTAAACACTGACCAAGGGCTGGGATTGCAGGAAAAAAGCAGGCATGGGCTTTACCTTGGATGAGGGGAAGAGAACTGGTAAGGGGGGCTCCACCTCATGGGGTGAGGCTACCTCAGCTGTGCTGATTGTTGCTATACAGAGATGCACGCCCAGTTCAGCTAGTTCTTCCCATTTTTTTCAAAGAAAAAAAACTGACTAATTTTTAGGGGGGTAAAAATTCTAAAATGTTAAGTATTAGCCCAAAATTTAGAGACAGAATATGCATGTTTTGCAAGTACATCTGGACTATGATGTATCACAGATGTGAAAACTTTGATTGAGACTTTATTGTATCTGAAAATATTTATTCCAAGGAAAAGGGGAGCACCTTTAGGAAGTGGGGCTGATTGGAAGAAGTAAGTCGCTGGCTCCCCTTGAAGGGGATATCGAGACCTCCACTCCTTTTTCGGGCTCTGCTTCCCAGCTGCCATAAGGTGAGCAGTCTGCTCTGCCACACACCCCCTACCATGATGTGCTGCTTCACCACAGACCCAGAAATAACCAAGCCAATTGGCCATGGAGCTGTGACCTGAAGTCAATCTTTCCTCTAGTATCCTATATCCTTCGAGCTTCATCCCCAACTCCTTTTCATTTTTTATTTTTGAGACAGGGTCACTAAATTGGCAAGAATGGGTTCAAACTTGCAGTACTGCCTCAGCCAACCAGAGTTCTAGGATTACAGATGTGTGCCACCATGTCCTGTTGTTCTTTCTTCCTCAAACTTGATTTTTTTTTCAGGTATTGTTTTCACAGCAATGAAATGCTAACAGTGTGTGTGTGTGTGTGTGTGTGTGTATGTGTGTGTGTGTGTGTGTGTTGCTACAATAATTACCTCTTGGAAACTGAGGAAAACAAGGAGGTAAGTGATATTATGGGAAGGTTTTTAAGCACTCCAGTGAATTAGTAGAAAAGTACTGCCCTGGAGATTTTATGTGGTGAAGGGACATTACTCAATGGGATTTGCACATTAAACACAGTAATTTATCCCTGAATGTGCAAATCCCCCCCCCAGCAATCAGGCCATTTGTGTGTGCTAACTGGTGCCCAGCAAAGTGAGGCGCCTACCCTCCCACAGAAGCAAGGCAATATGACACCATCTTCTTTGAGGATTACACATCAAAGGGATGGTTCCCCGTCCTTGAGGAAGACAGTCTTGGGCTTTAAAAACTAGCAAGAAGCTTTTTAAGAAAGATTTACATCTCAGAGGAGGCAGGGAAAGAGTGTACAATTCTGAGCTGTCTAAAGTAAATGCTGTAAGAAAACGCAAGTCAGGGGCCAAGGGGGAAAGAAGTCTTTCCAAAATTCAGTCAAGCCATGGGGAATGGTAAGGCAGTCATAAAGCCTGGTAGATATTGAGTTTTAGCAAGCTACACATTAGTCAGCCAGTTTTAAAGACATGTATATTCTAGATGTTTTCAACCGTCGCTTAGAGTCCTTTCGTCCTTCCCCACAGGCAGGGCTTTTGCAAGGTGACTGGATTATGGGGGCTGATATTGGACTCACTGTTAGAAGTGGGGGCTGGTCACTGGGGGCATCGCCTGGAAGGGTTTATCTTCCTCCTTAGCGCCTACCTTCTCTGCTTTTGTCCACCATGCCCTGAGCAGCTCTTCTCTGCCAGGTTCCTGTGCCATGCCATTCTGCCTTGGAGCCAGCTGACTATGGACCGAAACCGCCACAAACTGAGCCAAAATAAACCTCTCCTTGAGGAGTTGTGGGTTGAGTATTGTGTTTCAGGGACAAGGAAAGTATAACAGGTGGTGAGGTAAGAATTCTAGAACTCAGAGCAGAAACTCACAATGGCCCTGTGTTCACCAGTCCCCTGAGGAACCTTGGTAGCCACCAACAGGTGCTTGTCACTGTGCCAGCATCTTGCACTTCCACTGTGTCACCTTGGGTGATTTATCCATTTGCAAGTGGGCATCAGAAACACATACTACACTGATTTGTGCAGCACACTCTGCTCAGTGCCTGGTGTGTAGTAATGACTCAATAAAAGCCAAATACCAATACTTCAGCATGTTTACACCTGTGCTATTACATTATTATTATTATTATTTTGTACAGGGACCGAATTCAGGACCTCATGTTGTGAGGCAGGCAGTGGAACTACTGAGCTAAATCCTTGGCCCTACATTATTCTTATAAATGAGGAACATACTATGAAACTAATACCGATAAGATACACAAAGAGGTGGAAGAGAATATGTTAAAAGAATTATGATCCGGATCTAATAGAGGAGAAATTAGAAGAGAAGCTCTAAGTGACTGCTTCTGACACACCGTACTCTATCTGCTACAACTGTACATTTCTGCCCAAATTTCCTAGTCCTGGTCCCCCCAACCTAAAGTATTTTCCCACACAGATCTCAAATCTTCATGGTATTTAACCCAAGGACACTGCAGTTTTTAAAACTGAAATCATTGTGCTTATTTCCTTTCTCATTTTTATCACTTGTAGCATTTTTTTTTTAAACGTGAGAGCAATTCGATTTTTCATGAATCAATCTCCTCCTTTGTCCGTATCTTAGTAACAACCGTAAAGTTTTCAAGATTTGGATTCGGGTCTCCGGGATATGCTCCGAGCGTCTCCACCGAAGTGGAGAGTTTCGTCCTCCAATGAGCTCCGGCTGCTTGTGGATGTGACACCCGCTGGAGGGAAGCCAAGAGCCTATAGTAGCAACCCTGGGGAGAGCTAAAGCAGCCCTGGCCATGTAATTTAAAACCTCTGCAAAGTGTGCTGCTGCGGGCTGGGCTGTGCACAGCATTCCTGGAACATGAGGGCTGGATGCAGCCTGGCCCTCGGAGGACGACGTCGCTGGCGGCAGAAAGGGGGATATTGAAAGGCAAACCTGGGTGCAGCCGGAAAGGTCCAGGTAGATGAGCTTGTGGCATCCGTTCCCCAAGTTCAGGTACTGTAAACCTTTGTCTGTGAACTTTCTGCAGTAAGCCAAGCTGAGACTCTGTAAGTTGTGGAAGTACCTGGAAAGACAGGGCAAGAAAGAGACCAGGAAAGTGGTTATACTTCAGTCGTTCTCTCACGTCTTTTTAAGCCACTATGACAAAGAGAACAAAAATGGTGCGTTAATCTTTTCTCCTTGCAGTTGTTCAGCAATTTAACGTTATTGTTAACTCGAGCTCTGCAAATTAAAGGTTTCAGTGCTATATCAGATAATGCAGAACTGCATTTCAAGTGAAAAGAATTAAGGAATATTTGGCTAGATTTTTAAGAAAATTAAGAGAAAGTTTTTTCTGAAGGGTGGGGGCTGCTGCATGCATACTGTTTAGAAGTTACTTTGTTTTTGGAAACTGAAGTTAAGAGTTTATTGTTCTCAGGGTTTATCTTTGGAGGCCCCCAAAATAATTTGCGAACTGTCTAGGAGAATGTATCTTTTGTAAACATTTATATGGAAATTAACTTCCATGAGAGTGAGGATTTGGGGCAGAAGGAAGCCAAAACTGAATATAACAGTCTCTTTAAATGGGCCTGATAAGCAAATAGTTTGAAAACAAAGATTTAGTCAGGATTTTATAAGTGACAGTTTCATTACAATAACTTCAAGAAAGATAAATATACTGTGCTTAAACGTGCCATAAGAAGAGTCTGGAAATGAGTGGGCGACAGATGAGAATAGGAACTGGATCAGAGCTGTCAACCTCACCGGGGTTGGAGCAGATGAAACAGGCATTACCACCAGGACCAAAAGGAACACTTCCAGAAGGAAGGGGCTCTTTAGGATGAGTCTATACTAACGTGCAAGGACTTGCATTCCGAGGACACTCTGGACAAATATCCAGTCCTTCTCGTCCTGGTTTTTTAAAAGTGCAAGGACTCCCACTACTGCTTGCTCTTATAATGGAACTAACAACATGCTGTTGGTTTGTGAGCTACAATACTTTAACAGTAAATGAGAAAGTGAGAATGAACAGGGAGGAAAAATGCCTCTCTACCCACCCCCACAAATAAATAATAAAGTCTGCTTTCACATAAATGGGAAATAAGATATGCAAGCACTACCCATCAATCAGATTTAGTCAGAAAATTTGAGAAACACATCTATATGATATAATGGTTCCTATTTCCCAGATAAGCATCTGATTGAGAGCACACCTTGCCTGTGGGAATGGTTATGTGCAAGGACACTGCACAGGAGAACCCTTGGGACCCAAGTGGGAGCGGGCAGAGCCCCCAAGGGCAGAAAGTATTCAAACCCCAAAGATAGGGAAGGAAGAGCAGGGCCAGAGGCTTGGAAATGCCTGTTCTTCCTCTCCCTTGAGAACAGCCCGTGTTCGAACTGAGTAACCAACAGCTTTCTTGGGGAAGGCGTAGAGAGCGTCATTCTAAAATTGTTCAGCTCTCTCATTTGGAGCAGACTAGTGAGGTAGGCAGTAGGACACAGCAGAAAATACACAAGATTTTGGAATCTGACCAAATTGGATTTGAATCCCAACTCAGACACTGCAACTTCCTTGACCTCTCAGATTGTTTCCATTTCAGCTAAATGGAAATGATAATGTCATTTTTATTAAACCCTGACCAACTGTGAGGCCTCAGACTTTCCTGACCCTCAGTTTCCTCATCTGCGAGGTGAATGTAATCCCATCTGCCTTTCCCTTTAAAGGAGTGACAATTTGGGCCCAGGACTTAGCTCAGTGGTACCGCTGCCTGCTTCACAAGTGCAAGGTCCAGAGTGTGATCCCTGGTACCCAAAATAAATAAATAAAGGATTGACAAATCCCTGAGAACACAGATGTAATAGTGCTGTCCTGAGGGTAATTTTGACAACTGAAGTATTCAGGGACAGGAGGAAACCCACTTTCTGGTCCCCCTTCTCTCTTAGACAGAAGCTATCTTTCTGTCAATAAATTTTTCCTACTCTTAAAAAAATATTCAGGGACATGGTAGAACTTTTAAGACTATATGCATTGTTATTATTGCTACTATTACCTCACATATTTTTTTAAATTTGGACTATCTTTCATTTAGTGGAATGGAGACTCGTTTGATGAGAGAAGTATACGTAAGTGATTCCAAGAGTTTGGGGGATGTTGCAATGGGTCTACACTTGGCCCAAGCCTACTGTTCCTTTTCTTCCAATCCATGTGATCAGTTAATAAACCTCAGAACAAGAATTTAATGAGGGTCCTTATCTTTCTTTGTGTTGCAGACACCTCTGTCAGTCTGGTAAGGTCAAAAGACAGTTTCTTAGCATGTCTTTAAATGCATAAAATACAATATATAAGATTATAAAGTCAGCCAATTATAATGAAATGTATAATTATACTAAAAATTAAAACCTAATGGGTAGACTATTACACTGTATATGTTTCTTTATTAACACATTTAATAACAACTATTTCTAATAACTCTGTGAAATAGTTAATGATTTTAATAATTGTTACTAATGATATTTCAAAATATACATAACTATAATATAAGAATATATTTGTGATTTGTATAAGGGAAAAAGTCTCAAGGTTGCTAATACTGCTCTGATTTTTATTTACATTTCAGTTAGAGCTTAGTGAAAATAGAGAAGATTTTTCCTCCCATAAAAATCCAAGGACCCGCTGAACCCCTCCATTGGTCTTTTTCAGAGAGATCCACTGATTCCCAAAGTTAAGAGCCTCTAACTTAAGAGGCTGTTCATTAGAGCAATGATTCTGGGTCGAAAGGCTCTAGATGGCTGTCTTGAAGGGGGACCTCATGGGACTTGTTATGAGTTGAGGCACAGCACAGGAATCCAGAGTGGCCCTGTACGCTGCTAGAGATGGGAAAAGTATCAGTTAACAGTGAAATCATACTTGGCAAATTTTATGCAATTCTGATACTTTTTATTAAAATTTTTGGAAAAGAAAGGTCTCCTCTATGAGTAAGGTTTGTTTATCATTTTCCCAGCACAGAAACCACTTGATAATTCTAATTCTGCCTTGAGACAGAATGTTTACATCTATTTTTATCTTTTCCTAATTATTTCATAACTAAATGTTTCTTACTGAGTGATGGCTTTTCTCTTTGTGACATTTCCTTTCATGCTACTACTATATAATCTTTAGTAATTCTTTTTTTCTTTTCTTTTTTTTCTTTTTTTTTTTTTTTTTTACCAGAGATTGAACTCAATTTTCTTTTTTTTTTTTTTGTACCAGAGATTGAACTCAGGACCTTGTGTTTGCAAGGCAGGCACTGAAACCACTGAGCTAAATCCTCAGCCCATACTATATAATCTTTAAGAATTAAAATTCTTATAGAAATTACAGAGGAATTTTCCCCTCCTTTCTTTTGGCTTTGTTACCATTAAGAATTGACGTTTCTGTATTAGATTTCCAACTGCTAGAAGCAATCAAATTTATGTATTTAAATGAAAATTTCTCTTAACAATCACAAAGATGAAGCCCAGACTATAAAAGAGGGGATCTGCATGTGAGTGCTTCTGAGTTGAGCAGTAGGCTTTCTAGTATCATTGAGGCAGTCTCAAGAAATAGAATTGTACAGATAATCGAAATGTAATTATGTGGCCTCATATGTGCTGGGTGAACTTGAGGTACTCTGGTCAGAAAACAGCGTACTCTGCCTTCCCCACTTTGATGGGTACCGGTGAGATGATATCGCATGATAGGCCCTGACAATAGAAGTTTCCAAGCCAAATGAAGGGTCAGTTCATACACATAAGAACAATGAGTACACACCACTCCATAACAGTATATAAAGCTCATTAAATAACAAAGATAACATCAGGCATGGTTTTGCACACCTATAGTCCCAGGTACTTAGGAGGCTCAGGTAGGAGGTCTGCTTGAACCATAAGAATCTGATACCAGCCTGGAGATCCCATTGCAAAAGAGAAAAAAGAGAAGAATAAAGATCAAGATAGCCTTACTCCCAGCTGTCTCCCTAGCAGGAGGGACACATTGTAGCTCATCATGAGATGGTGCATAAGTGAATAAATCTTGATGTCAGAGTGTGGAGAAAGGAGAAGACACTGAGCTTCTGGCAGATGGCATAGCTTCAGATGTGAAAGGGTCAGCAAAGTAAAGGAGATGGAAATTCCAGTCATAGAGAAGGTAGAGCATGTAGCACTCAGATGAACAGAGCTAAGGGCTTCTCTTGGGAGACCTAGATGGGCAGATTTGATAGGAGAATGTTAAAGGACGGGAAGGGAAGAGTCCAGATATGATATGAAGATTCTCTCAGGCTGATCCTTCCTGCAGTGTGAAGCAGACAGATGGAGGGGAAGAGAGACTGGAGGTGAAATGTGCCAGACAAGGCTCTGAGCATGCCACCTGGGTTGTACAAAGGGTGGAATTCAGGAAATATTTAGAAGCAAAATATTTCCTGGAAAGGGCATGAGCTGTGGGTGAAAACCGAGCAAGGCCCCAAAGAAGAGAAGAAAAATATTCAGATAAAGAACTGGTAAACCAAGGTTGCCAAGAAGGGCAAACAAAGTATATTTTTCTTTTGGCAAATAACTTCTTTGGAATGAAGTACTAAAGGCAGTGAAGAGAGAACGGCAGCACTAACAACCAACACTGCTCTGCTTAGTAAGAGTTTAAAGAGCACTTCTGCATACCCAAGCATGTTTAAAACAATGGAAAACAGCAAAAACAAGAGACTCATTGTAAATGTCCTTTTGTTATATGAAAGTCAGTATATATTTTTTTCCCATTTGACAAAAAACAGTAGCAGGTAGCATTTATTCTGAATGGTCTTTCAATGGCAAGAACTAGAAGTTAAAACTAAAACAAAATTCTTATTTGGGGGCCCTAATTTTGTACATGTTGCCTATGAAAGACATATCTTCACTTGTCTTAAAAAAGTCCCTAAGAAGTTATGATAGCTATAGAATTACATTAAATTTCCTAAGAGAAAAAAGTTTATCTCAAAGTATGATTGGCAAAAATGTTCTCAGTTAAAAAAAAAAAAAAAGCACTCACTTTTAAGTTCAGAGTTTCACATGCGGATTTTATAATATCTTCTCTCCTGCCCCAAACATACTTTTATATGTAACTTGTATTATTAAGTTTTTCCACAGAGAAATTTGATAGATTCTAAAAAGTATAAATAATTCATTCACATATATAAAGATTCATATGTACACATTTGTACTTACATACCTCAGCATGAAATGTTTAAAGAAAATCCTGAGTGAATCTTATGTCACAGTACTAGAGGACCTCAAGGAACTCCTAAAGGCATCTTGGGGATCCTCAGGGGCTCCCCCCATGGGTGTCACTGGGGCTGGCTTGCACCAGCCCATAAGTTCAATTTTTAACATCCTCTCCCAAGTCCACATTAAGTGATGTCATGTTGATGGTTTAAAATTGGTCATAGTAGGACCTTTTACACCACAAAAATCAATAAACCCTACAAATCACAGCTTCCTTCTACCCAGTACCCCAGCCAGGTGCTAGGTATTTCCCAGAATATTTCTGTCTTTGGAACATATGTTAAGAACTACTGGTTAAAAAACAAAACAAAACAAAACAAAAAACTACTAGTAGAGAAAAGGCAGTATGCTAATGGATACATAATGCATACATAAACAAAAATGGTGAGAGAAAAGATGGCAGCTTTGAAGGTCAGGAATAAAACTGACCTAAAAATAAAGGAGGATTCTTAAGACAAACCCTGAATATACAGATAGAAGTTTTTAAAAAAGACATGCCTTCCTTACCTGAGAAAACAGTTCAAGTTTTAATGCTCAAACGGTCTATTATGTTCCAGGAAAAATTAACTGAATGAACACAATTAAGCTAGAAAATGTTTTTAATACTCAGAGAAAAGGAAAGTCTTACAAACATCTTGGCAGAAAAAAACAAAGAGGTTGCAAATGAAGGAACAGAAACTTATTCTGGCTTTTGACCTCTGTTTAACCTGAAATATCCAAGTTTACAGAGCAACATTTGTAAAGCTTTTAGGATAGAATAAAGAACATGATTGAAGATCTATACTCCAAAAGAAGTTAGTTATTATCCACTCTCCAGGATAATAATCATGTTCAGAGATCAATGGCTGAAAAGTCTAACACTCATGCATCTTTCTTGAAAAAATTTATAAAAATTATATCTTAGTCTAAACTTGGTCACTTGTAGAAAAATAAGTGCAACTTGAGATCATGTTAAGAAAAATAAATCAGACACACAAGCTTAAATATCAGATGGTTTCTCTTTTATGAGGAGCTCAAATTATACATAAAGAGAAAAATAAAAAATAGATAATAGGAAGTAGGGAGAAAGATCTTTCTCAAATGGGAAGAGGACCAGGAGATGGAAGGAGGGGAGGAAAAGGGATGAAGAAAGGAATTACAGTGTGTCATGTACATGTACTAACTCCATACAATGAATATAAACATGTAGAGCAAACATAAGAATGTTTAAAATTTTATCTCAGTCATTGGGAATAACAGTCTCCAGTGAATGGCTTAAACTAGTTAGAATTACATGAGCTTTATTATTAGAATTACAATATTAAGTGCAAAAACGAAAAATAATTAAAAGGAAAGTTAAATGATTAGCAAAAATCATGAGTAATAGTTATTTTCACACAGAGGAGTGGAAAAGAAAAGCTGTCAAGTTCAAAGTGGAGGGACAGTTAATGTATCAGCACTCCTGCCTCACAGGGAGAATCAAGTCATAGTTTCATCTTGGCTGTGCTAACTAAACAAATGCATGCTAAATGCACTTTTAATAAAAAACCCCACACAAATAGCCACTAGTTAGAATACACAACAGAATTTGTACATGCTTCTCAAACACTTTCGTGTCACAAAAGTAAACAACATAGTTCACATAGTAAAAAGCAGAAACAATGAATATCAAAACATAAAAAATGATTAAAAATAAGACCATATATTTAATTTTGACAGGAAGTATTAACCTTTCAAACTTCCTCTTCAAAAGGCAAAGAAATGGAAATTTAAAAAAGTTAGCTACATGCTACATATAAAAGATGAAACTAAAATTCAATAACACAAAAGTTAAAAATACAGGGATATATAAAGTAATTTCATAAACATCACAAGCAAAAGAAACCAAAGGTAATTATGATAGATTAAAAATAATTTATGGAAAAGAAATACCAAGCATGAAAGAGATATTTCATATGAATAAATGCTATATTCTATAATGAAACATGACACTAACCTTTATGTAAAAATAACATCACAAATTAAGCAAAGTTTGATTATAGTAGGTAACTAATATGTTACTATTGTACTATGAAGAGATTATATGCACATGTATACATATGCAGATAGAATTTTGTTCTTTAAAAGAAGCTCTTTGTTTTAAACATTCATGGTCAATTTGCTGAAATTAATTTTAAACCAGTCCACCAAGTAATCCCAATAAACTCCAAGAAGTAGAAATAATTCAAAACACATTTCTTGAATAGAGTGCATAATTAAGAACAGATGCTTAATCAAAGAAACGTCAAGTACTTGGAACCAAAACTTCTAAGTAATTACTAGGTTGAAGAAGAAAGCAAATATAGACTAGTTTCCTTAGAAAATGAAAATAACTCTTACCAAATCTTAAAAACTTTGACAAACTGTTATTTAGAAATAATTTCACAGCCCTAATTACTTTCTTGTAAAAGAAATAAGTCAATTAAATCATTCAAATAAAGTATAAAATGATACCTGTATCTCATACTCTAGTCCAAAAGTGACATTTAGAAACTGAGAAAATATTATAAGAAAGTATGATTAAAAGGCTACTACTACTGACAATGACAATAAAGATACATACCTAGAAATAACTTTCACAAATATTATCAACATGAGTAAAACAAAATTTTATTGATATATTTAAAATTTTTGCAAAAAACATTTTTAAATATGCTATATTCCTGATAGGAAGATCAAATATTATAAGAATATAAATCAGTTCCTAGTTTATCTTTAATTATCAATGGACTGGTAAACATCTAACAACTGCCTCTCAAAAAAAAAAAAAAAAGTGCCAGGGATTTAGCTCAGTGGCACTGTGCCTGCGTCAGAAGCACAAGGTCCTGAGTTTGATCTCCGGTACTGAAAAAAAAAAAAAAAAGAAAGAAAGTCCATGTAAATGTATGTATTTTTACTATAATTTTTTAATTGAATGATTATAAAATTTTATATTGTACATTTACAAAAGTTGTACAGATCAGCTTCGAAAATAGTAATAAAATACATAATACTTTGCATTGTGAATTCTATATGGACATCAATTCTCACACAATGCTTTAAATGACTTGCTAAACTTTTATAAATGTAGCCAGTCAACCAATAGTTGCAACTGAGGAATGAGTGCAGTTCCATGTGAATTACGTAATACTTGTTTGTTCATTCATTACGTTCATTTACATTAATGAGTTAGATAAACAGAGGCAGATGCCCAGTCTTCACTCATCCATCAACAGTATGAGCGCCTGCTCTGCTGAGTTAGATAATAATTGTAAAGTATTGAAAGAATATTTCCTCAATTTTTTGTATAGTCATGACATGCTTTTGTATTTTATTTGCTTTATTGCCTTTCCCATCACTTTCTCAAGTCTAAACAATCAATGAAACAATAAATCACACCTTGATTTGTAGTGTTTGCCATTTTCCCTGGTGTGGAATATTCCCAACTTGCCAATTCCAAGCTACCAATTGGAAGCATTTCATCAGAATGACATAGTAATCATCAATAACCACAAAGACATGGATAAAGTAACATGCAGAGAAATATTAGAAAGTGATGAATTTTAAGCTTTTATTGCCTACACAAGAATTTCAGAGATACATGGGAGAATCACCTATCATTTGATAAATGATAAATAATGCTGGATAAATGATTGCTTATTTAACAGCTCTGAAAATGTAAAGCTGTGCTGGACTGGTGGACCACACAGCATCAGACCTTGGGCCACACGGGTCATAGTTTGTTGACTCCTAGTTTAGATCACTGCTTCATTTGTCTACAAAAAATGAATTCTAAATTCATTATACTCTTGAGTAATAAAATGAACAAGAAAAAATAAATAAATGCATAGCACATGTCTGGTGGGGAGAGGAAGACTCTGTTTAAAAGTTTCAGAAGAAATTCCAAAGGGAAGATTTCATAGATTTAACCAAATAAAACACTACTTCAATTAACAGAATTAACAGAAAATATGGGGCCACTTTTTGGATGTTTGTATTTGTGGAAAATGGTTAGAACTATGAGATAAAGGAAATTAACCACTTAGAATTTTCACCGTTGAAGCTTTTCTAAGTGTTATTTTTCAAATGAGCTCAAAACAATATTTTCAAAAATCGCTCATTCTTGCACTATAGTTTCAGAAATATTTTCCCAAATTCATATTTGAATGTCTCCCTATATGATTATGTATTCTTCTTGATCATATTTCTGTAATACTGTGATGTTCTGTCCAGTCACACTCCTCTGTCCCTTCCTCCAAGGAGTCCTGGCCAGAGAAAGGCAACTCTCATGCCGAGGACATCAGAAGGCCACGAATAGTCAAAAACCAAAGTGCATGGTTCCCTGGAATTGACGTGTCTCAACAGAAATCCAGAGCACAGCAACAGGGAATCTGGGAGACTGGTGCTGAAAGCAAGAGGGCATGATGGAGTTCTGGTACAGTTTGGTTCCAGACACCAGGCTGAAATTTAGGTGCCAGGCTCCAAAGCCCAGGAAGGGGGACCAGGAAGAGACAGGCAAGTTCTAACTCAAGCTACAGAGCTACAAGAGGGACAGAAAACTGGCCAAGGTGCAGGACGAATGGTAAATGCCACAGTGGCAGAATGTGGGCAAAGGGAGTGCTGCCTTTGGGGTGTGCTAGAAAAAGCCCAGGCCTAGAGGAGCATAAATGTCTTCAGCATAGGACAAGTAATACAGCATTACCTGGGCAGGAGTCGCAATGTCCTATTGGTGATGGCCGTGTTAGAGAGATTGAGATACAGGATTCCAGGGCAGCCTTCGGAAATGTGTCTCATTAACTCATCCTGCATAAGAAACAGGCAAGAATCTCATCAACCCTAACAGGCTTGGCCATTTTCTCCAGGATCTATCAACTCTCTTCCTGGCCCAGGAAATGGTACAGTGTATGCAAGACTTGATCTCTTTGCATTTTTTGGTAATCATTCAAATCAAATTAAATAGAAGCTACTAGTTTTGTTTGAAGCTGCATTCCTCCCACCTTTTCTCTTTCTTTGGAAACAAAAATCCCATTGCTTTCCAATGACATTTCTGTAGTAGGTGATGCCTTGTAAGCTCCATTTTGTGATAGGACGTTGGGCACAAGTATAAAAATATCAAACCCTCCTGACTCTTTGGATGTAAGAAAGTTATTGAAAATTGATCCATTTTAAAGCTTAGTGAAATTATTCTGTAAGACCAGAATAGTAAATGCTCTCAACAATTGGCCTTCATCAAAAATGAGTCCCCACTTACACATATACATTGACATATAGGTAGGTGTCTCTGTGCAATTAAATTCTGTGGTTCTGGTACTGATATGTTAAAATAGCTGAACAGGTGTTCACCAAAGTTATGGTAAGTTTGAGAAGGCTTGACAAATATATGTGATGTACAAGTTGGGCATAAAATTCAGCACTGGTGCTAAGGCTAGAGGGAATCTCAGAGGTGAAAGAATGGTGTGACTGGAAGCCAAGCATGGAGGCACGTACCTGTAATCCCAGAATTCCGGGAGGCAGAAGCAGGAGGGTTCCAAGTTTGAACTCAGCCAGCCTGAGCAACTTTACAACTCAGAGAGATCTGTTTTGATTTGTTTTGTTTTGGTACCAGGGATCGAACTCAGGACCTTGTGCTTGCCAGGTCTTACTTCAAAATTTTAAAAAATTAAGAAGAGGACCGGTTATGTAACCAGAGAGAAGGCCCTTGATTCAATCACCAGTACCACAAAGAGAAAAGGCGAAGAGGGGGGGAAAAGGTGGAGAAAAGGGGAGAAGGAGAAGGAGAGAGAGAGAGAGAGAGAGAGAGAGAGAGAGAGAGAGAGAGAGAGAGAGACAGACAGAGACAGAGAAAGAGACAGAGAGAGAGACAGAGAGAGAGACTAGAAAAATAGTAACTTCAAGCACTGGCCCTTAACTTGAAATTAAAAAGACTAGATGAGCTTTAGGCTTTGATAGTAATGAGCTATATCACATAGGGGCAACTACAGAAAATTCAGTAATAGCAGATTCTTATTCATTTAATGATGGTTGATGAACTCCCCAGAACACAACAGACCAGCCAATTTTTAATACTTATAGTCCTACAGGGTTTGACACTACAGCACATGGGTCCTGCAAAGAGCAATTGCAGGTATCTCTGGCTGGAAGAGGTAAGTCATCGTAGGCTAGGCAATGTGGGCGAAACACGTGTAGCATCACTGCAGTAAACAAAACAACTTCAGTAGGATCATAAGCAGTTTAACTTTTCATCCCTCACTGTTTCCGGTACTCATGGGTGTTTAAAACAACAAAATCTAGGAAGAAAAGGGCTAAACGTGTAGGGAAAGTGGGAAAGGTAGGGGAAAGGTAATAAGGGAAAGAAAAAAATAGGAGAAAATGAAAAAATGGAAATAAAATGTTTGTAAATGGGGAGGAGAGGAGGGGGTAAAGGGAGGGCAGGGACAAGAGGAAAAATGAGAACCAAGACCTGTCATGTAAAGGTACAAGATCCCAATAATGAATCTAACTGTACTGTATACGTAAAATGTACCAATAAACTCAATGAGGAAAAAAAATAATAAAACAACAAAATCTGCAGGCCAGAGCCCCTGTCACACTGAGGTAGGAACTGGTCTGTTTACAGGGTGGCAAACCACACCTGAGTTGAACAAGTGTCCATGTAAAGCTGCAGACACCTCAGTGGGTCTGAGCCAGAGAGGTTCTGAGAGCCGGCACCACATGGGCACCATGTGGGCCCTGAAGAGCCCAGCCCTCTCATGGTGCCATTAGGCTGCCACGATTTTCCAGATATCCCATCACGAACAGATGATGTAAATGTGTATGCACATCTTAAGGTATACACTGGCAGCAGAGTCATCCTTGATGCTGTAGTTTGCATATAAATATGTTTTAAGATATTCAGTGTGAGGAAGACTGTTATTAGATAAGAGGAAAGGAATAATACTAGCAGGGAAAAGGTATAAGGGAGGGTTTTGGGGGATGGATATGATCAAAATATGTTGTGCTCATGTATCAAAAGACCACATTGAACCCCATATTTTGTAAAATTAATGGGCATTAATAAAAATATTTTAAAGCATGGAAAAATGTTCAGTGCACCAGTCAGGCATCAAAGTGATTGTGCCCTTTTTGAAAGACCTTGGAAAATAAGATAGAGAAAGGAGAGGAGGAAAAGGAGTCACATTTGCCCTAAAAAGCGCAGCCACAGAGAATATAAAATGTGAGGAGCAGGAGGAAGAGAGGGTAGTCTGTGCACCACAGGAATCTGACTTTCCACCAAGATGAGAAAGCGCTCCATTCTCTGCATTTTCCTGTCCAGAGGAGCCTGGACATATGAACACGTTCATACCAATCTAGTCTCAGTATTACAGAGTTCAAGATGTAATCCCCAAACATTTAAACACATAAATGTAAAAACTGTTTTGAATGCAAAATTGTTTATGAATGTATCCATGGTGTACATGCAGGAATCCTCTTGGATGTGATACATTTCGTTCTCAAGCTTAGAAATCAAAGCTTGAATGATTTGTCATTGAATGAATGTCACCCAACTCCTTCAATGGAAGTCTTTCTCCCAGTCTATGTCTCAAAGGGAAAAACAATAGCAAAATGTAGCTGGATAAAATTATCTGCCCTTTATAGGCTCCAAAATTGAACAGGACTTTGATGCTAACAAATTCAATGCAGATGCATTGCTTTGGCTTTCCTACTAGAAAATCAAAATGTAAAAAGTATGATCTTTTAAAAATCATGTTCAGAAATGAAGCTCTCTGAGGGCAAGAACTGAAAATTAATTCATTTTAAAATCCCCCCTTAAACCTATCAGAATATCTATAACACATTAAGCGCTAAAAATATGCACTGAAAGAACAAGTCCATTTGACAAGACACCTCACTATAGGCACAAGCAGACATCTGGAGAGTATGGCAGAAAAGATTTTAAACCTCTCTAAATGAAAGGGCCAATTTTCACTTTGCTGGTGGAGAAAGCACAACCAATTGGAACATTTTTCCTCCAATGTGGTCTTTGCAATCAATGTCTATCCTTCCATCTCTTTAGGGCAGTTTTGAACATAAAGAAACAGCTTGATTATGTCAAATTATAAGCCACTGGGAAGATACTTAGCTGACTTAATCTAAAGCCATTCTCTGTGGTACGGGGGACAGAAACCAGACCACTACTTTAAATGCCTAAACCATCAACCAATCAAATGCTTGATTGGGGTAAGTAGTGGATGAGTCTGAGGGTTTTAATATTTTTATATACACATTTATTTATGCCTTGTCCTTCAGAAAAATGTTTTGCTGTGAAAATGGGAGATAAATTTTGTGGAAAAAAATTTCAAAGAGCTCTTAGTTCTAAAAGAGTAGCTATACATGTAAACCTAAGTCCAAAAAAAGTATAAACGCTGAAGCACTAATAGAACAGATGTAACTCAGGAGAGGGACACATTAATCCTGACAAAAAGTGAATGGAATTGCATGGGACTAGAGGTTAGGAGAAAATGAGGGGTGACTGTTAAGGAGGGGTGAGTTGTTCGAGGAGTGGGCAAAATGTTCTAAAATTAGTTATGATGGTTGCACAACTCTGTGAATATACCAAAAACTGCTAAATTACGCACTTTGGGCAAATGTAATATCCGAGTGTGTAGGGTTTCTCCAGACTATATACACTGGGGTATAAGTCCCTGTCTCATCCCTTCTCTCTAGGTTGATTTTATAACGTTAATTATGATCTACACATAGGCATTAATTCAAGATGGAATGTCAAGTTCTAACCAGTGTTGTCCATTACCTTCCCAGGCATCTTCATAGAGCGGCATTCATCAAATTACTGCAAAAATCCCACATACCAAAGTCTGTGCTATGTGCTGTGACTGCCACCTGCCCCTGCCCTCTGAGTCTCTTGAGTTAGTGGAGACAGAAGCATTATGGTTAGGGACCTGAAGGAGCACAGTGAGCCCAGCCCTGATGCTCTGGTAGAGGAGTGATGGTTAGAGTAAACCTTAGAGATCAGCAAAAAGGAAAGTGCTGTTCAGGGACAAAGGGAAAGAGCATTCCAAGCAAAGAGCACAGCACAAGTGAGTGTGAAAGTGTGAGGAGTGGTTTGGTGCATGCAGTAAGGAACACTCAGGGCAAGACGGTGCTGCAAAGGAAGCACGGGCATGACCACAGCGGGCCCCGAAGCCGCAGTAGTGCTAAGGTGCCTTGATTTTATCCAGTAGTGTAGAGGACAGGAGTGTGCAGTTGGTGGGAATGAAGGAGTCAGATCTGCCTCTTAGGGAGTATTATGTGCTTGCAGATTACAAGACAGACTGGGGCAGAAGGGAAGCCTGGGGACAGGGACCAGAAAGGAGGCATAGAGATATACGTTCATTTCCATCTTCTCCGAGACAGCTATCAGTAGCTGTGAAAAACACGAAAATGAGCCGATCATTGCAGCTGGAACCTAGTTTTTCCTGTCTCATATGCACAGGCAATATAAATACAGTCCATCCTTGTGTAATCATGAAAGGGTTTCCACTAGCCAGCAGCTCCAACATTGAGTATACATCTATAAGATTAATAACAGCATCGTATAGTCAGGCTAAAATTTCTTGCCAATGCTTAATATAGTTTTCTTTTTCCCACTTTCAACCTTCAATGTACACATAGGCATGCACTCTGCATATTAGTTTTCCAGTATAGGAAGTCTGAAGTTTTATAAACAACAGTTTTTAAAAAGCTGCGTATACTCACTGTGAGTGTTGGGCAGTCAGACACATTCAACTCTTGCAAGTTTTTACAGTGGCCTAAATCAAACAAGTTACATGTTACTAAACAACATATTACAGATGTTTAAATTTAAAGTTTTTCCATCTTATATTCAATGTGACAATTCATTGGAAAATAAACAGAAACCTTGGCAAGTAATGTGTTCTAAGTACAGATCTCTTTTCTCATAAAAACAAAAAGTATTTGAATGTTTAAATTTAAAAATTATTATTACAGTAAAAGACACATTGCCATTAATCTCCCTCACTGAGAACGCACATATACCATCATTCTTGCCTTTTTCTGAAGTAGTTCTGGAAGTCCTCTTTCATGAGTATCATTATGAAGAGTGATCAAAACTATGGTGAACATGCTGGATGCCATCCAACAAAAAGGCATGCTCAGAAAAACAATAAAGTGTATCTTTATCTGCCTTATAAATCCACCAGATCTGTCACTGTGCACCAGATCTGGCACTGTGCAACTTCTGGCCCTTTCCCAAAGTCAATCAATTCAAGACATCCAGGCAGCTAGTGCAACTAAAAATACATACAAGGACTCTGAGAACTGCTTCAGAAAGTGGTGTGGATGATAAGTTTGTTTGAAGTGAGGGAACTATTTTGAGGGAGGTCAATGGCAATGTACCTTTTACTGTAATAATGTTTTAAAAAAATTAAACACCATTTTTCAATCACACCTCATATTTTGGCTTCAAAAAGAAGAAAATAAAGATATACATTTATCATTGTTTGAGAATTAGAAGAAGGGGAAGAAAGAACTAGGATCTCTGGAAAAAATAGGAAGCAAATAAACTTGCTCTTTTGTGCATACCTTTTTCTGTTTTAACATTTTATTACGAAAAATGTCAAACATACACAAAATGTATAAGAAGTGCGTAATTAATACCTCTATCTCCACCACCTAGATTACAACTTATATTTTACTGTATTTGCTTTATCACACGTACACCCACCAACCCATTTTCAATCCATTCTTCATTCCACCTTACTTTTATGCATTTCAAAGTAAGTTGCAGACACCAGCACAATTTCTTCCAAATGGTTCTGCATGCACAATGACAAACAACTATTTGTTATGGTTTTTAGGTTATGTTAGACAATTTACAGACAGCTATAATAAACTGTAGGCACAGAAGCGAAGGGTTGGAAAGGCTAAATCCTGATTAGCTCCGGGACAGAGGCCACGGCACAGCAAATGATCTTTCAAAGGAGATGAGACATGTACGCAAATAGCCAGATGGCAAAGTGTTACACAATCAGAGGCCCGGGAGCCACTGGGGAAGACACACAAACCAGAGCATGCGGGAATCTTGAGGGAAACAGAGGATGGCATTCTAGGTGGGGAGGAGACCCCACAAAGCAGGAAAACTACAGGCCAGGGTGGCCCTGGCACTGGAACTGCTATAACGAACAGAAAATACATCTGCCGCTCATAAGCACAAAGCTAGCCCCACTTCTAACAACAACAGACGTGTTATTCGTTATAAACCCATTTTGAACATTTCTTCCTTTGCCAAGAGTGAACTATGTCCTAAGCGATAAATGCAAACCAGGAATATTTTCAGCTTTTAAAAAATGAAGAAGTTCTTAAAAATGTGCAGATCTTGGTAAATCACAGTAAAACTTAAGAAAATAGATTCCCAAAACAGTGTAAGTTAGTTAATGAGATGAATGTTATAAAATAGAATACTTACATGAGCATAATTCATACATTCAACAAATACTGATCAAGGAAATACAGTGATGAGCAAAACAGACAAAAATCCTTGCCTTTAGGGAGTTTGTTTTCTAGTTGGAGGAAACTAACAGCATATAAATGAAGTAAAACATCTACTTTGGCAGATGGTGATAAGTTCTATGGAGAAAAGTCAAACAAGGAGTGCCTAGCCAGGGAAGGGGATGCGATTTTAAAGAACCCTATAAGGACAAGGCTTCACTGAGAAGCTGACATCTGAGACTGATGTGTGGGAGCTGCTGGAGACAGCACCATCTTGTCTGAACATTACTAGAGCTCATCCACAACCTGACTGGTGGCTGGGAGGCAGGAAAGGAAAGGAAAAGCTAAGCTCAGGGGTACACATTCAAATCCCATTTTAAAGGCAAGAGATGAGGTTAAGAACAGCCTGGGGTCACAACCATGCAGGCAGACAAGAGTGCACTCAAACTTATGGCCCCAACATTTGTCTGCTCCACCAGGCAAGCAAGAGGGCAAGGAGCTTTCTATGCCACTGTTCTGTGAGCGCCTTCTTAAACCAGAAGTCCTTTGCCTAAGAACAAGTTGCTGTTTCTGTCACATACCATGCTCCCAATGATCTTTAACTTTTAATATTTTTTTCTATTCCAACCTAGGGACTTCACGTACCCCAGCTGGGTCTTATTGTTCCTGAACTACATTAGTTAAAATTGTCCAAGCTTGGGTTTCAAAGGATTACTTTCTTGGCTCCATCTGTCAGACCCAGGAATCAGGACCAGCTGGATGTCAGGATGCGCACGGTCACCCTCATCCTACTGCTGTGCTTCTGCAGAGCTGCTGAGCTGCTGCGCAGGGCCGGCCCTGGCAGTGCCAAAAGTCGCACCATCTCTGGCCGGGCAGCCGGGGGCCGGAGGGGTTCCCACCCCGTCAAACGCTACGCACCAGGCCACCCCTGCGATGTGTACACCTATCTCCATGAGAAATACTTAGACTGTCAGGAAAGAAAATTAGTTTATGTGCTTCCTGCCTGGCCCCAAGACCTGCTGCATATGCTGTTAGCAAGAAACAAGATCCGTATATTGAAGAGCAACATGTTTTCCAAGTTTAAAAAGCTAAAGAGCCTGGACCTGCAGCAGAATGAGATCTCCAAAATTGAGGACGAGGCGTTCTTTGGTTTAAATAAACTCACCACCCTCTTACTGCAGCACAACCAGATCAAAGTCTTGACGGAGGAGGTGTTCATCTACATGCCTCTCCTGAGCTACCTGCGTCTTTATGACAACCCCTGGCACTGTACCTGCGAGATAGAAACGCTCGTTTCCATGTTGCAGGTTCCAAGGAACAGAAATTTGGGGAACTATGCCAAGTGTGAAAGCCCGCAAGCCCTAAAAAATAAAAAACTGCTGCAGCTTAAATCCGAAGAGTTGTGTAGTGAGGAAGAAACGGAGCAACTGGACCCAAGACCCCAAGTGTCAGGGAGACCCCCGGTCATCAGACCTGAGGCAGACTCAACTCTGTGCCACAATTACGTGTTCCCCATACAAACGCTGGACTGCAAAAGGAAAGGTTTGTGCACTCCTTAAGTTTTCATTTTCATGAGCTGTTAGAAACACTTGAGTCTTAATACCCTCCCTGCACCCGTCATATCTTGGGATTTGTCTCTTCCATCAGAAACATTTTCCCAGTGACAAAGGACTCTATTCCAGGCTTTCTGGTTTGTGATTAGGGGACAATGGGGGACAGAAAGTATCCCCAGCAGGGGCTGCTATTCAGTTCCTAATCATTTGCCCATTATAAGCTGTGGCTGCAAGGGATCTTTTTGATCTTAAATCCAATTTAATTTATGTAGATAAAGAAATGGGAACGAAAACAAGTGCAAATGTTATGTAAGCCTTACTTGTACCTATACCTATAAAGGTAAACCACGGTGTGCACCTGCGGGAGACAACCTCAAGGACAACCATCTGCAGAGCAGGAGGAAGACAGCACTTGGAAATAGAGGCCAAGTGGTATAGTGATGTGCTCCTCTATTTCAATCATTTAGCCCCAGGGTTTTAATAAACACTAACATCCTACAGTTTAGTTGTTCCCAAGTTATCCAGAACAAGACAAAAAAATTTAAATAATTAAACAAAATACTGCATCCAAGAACTATGACACTAAGGAAATCCATCTAGAATATGACCTATTCCCTACCAATCCTTATAGGGTTTTCCATCTCACAGTGCTATGCAGGATTTGTGCATACAGAATAAATCCCTGGACTGAAAAAAAGATGGGAGAGTTTCATAATGCTCTTGAGCTATTAGCAAAGACAGATGCTATCCAAGCATGACCCCAGAAGTGCTCATCTACTCCATGATAGTAAGCCATGTGGCAGTGTCTATAGATGTTATTTCTGGCATGGTTTAATAACGTGTAACATTAAAGCCAGATGTCACTGAATTAGTCATATTATAGAGCTTGGTATCATTTCTTCCATTGACTTTGAGAAGTTTTGCTTTGTTTTGTTTTTTTGAGAGCAAGCAAAGGGGAAGATTAAAAGAGCCCTAGAAGACCCTCTCAAGAAAACAGAAGTCAGGAATTTGTTAATGTAGAAAAATCAGGTGCCTTGGCCAGAGGTATATTGTTCAGAAAAGTTGTGTACAAGTCCTACTGCTCTCTTCCTAACTCTGAAGGTGGTGCCTGATTAGAAGGCAACACCACGGCACAGAGACATCTGCTAAGACACTCTGTGAACTGTACACAATCCAGTGCCACAGTGGAACAGTTATGCCTCATAACTGGAGACATGCTGGGCTGGGCTCCTCTAAATTTGAAAGGAAATGCTCACAACCAAAAGCCTCCCATGAGATCCACAACCTTAGGTGGTAGCAGTATCTCATGTCTAGAGGAGGAGAATGAGGCCCAAGGAGGTCCAGGCCCAGATCTCACAGGTAAGCAGCAAAGCTAAGATTTGAACCCTGTTCTACTGGACCCGGTGCCTGTGAGATTCCTACTGCCTCCCTCTGTCTCCCAGAATTAACCAACAAGTCCAAACAAGCTGCTGCCTCAACAAGTGAGCACCAGTGAAATCCAGAAGAGTCGGCACATGCACTTTCTCTGTGGCAAGATGGGGTGGACCTCCTTGATGTTGTTATGGTGAATAGTTAGGGCTCTATGCTGAGAGCATGCTTTACTAGGGTTTCCTTTGTGACAGATTATAAACTAAAATTATACATTAAAAAAAATACTAAGTGATTATCCTAGTGGGTGAGAACACTTGATATTACCAAGGCTCCTCCATCGAGCTTGAGTAAATTTGCCCTCTCTGCATCAGATGCTGAAGAGGAAATTTAAAAAGGGTTGAGTTCATTAATGATCTGAGAAAAATATCATGTACACAAAACTTAAGACTTCTACAGCTACACTACACTGTATTCTAGCAAGAGCAATCATAGCAGAAAAATATCTGTCTTCCTTTTTTCTCTTGGGCCATTCCTTCCCTTCAAAAAGCCTATTTCGGCTTTTGTGGTTTTTTTCCATTTAAAAAATTTTTTAAATCAAGGTCTTACTATGTAGTTCAGGCCAGCCTTGAACTCATTATGTAGCCCAGCTGGCCTTGCAATCCTCCTGCCTCAGCCTCTCAAATCCTGGGATTACAGGCATGTACCATCATCCCTGGCCCATAAAATGTTTTGATTGGTAAGCACCAGCTATAATTATTGCTTTCTTTTCTCAAATTATTACTGTATATGCACAACTTTCCAGAAATGCCCCCAAAATTCATCCTCCCCTACTTAAAAAATATATGTAATATTTATTGGAATGCAATATAAACATGATGTGCAAACTTTTCAGTATATACCATATTAGGTCAGACATTAAAGGACAACTTGACCGCCCCTAAATGTTAGTAACTCTGTAATTGAAAGCCTGTACTTTCAGCCTTTAAATACATGCATTTTAAAATTTTTAGTTCACACATAGTAAATATACATATTATGGGGTATAGAGTGCTTTTTCAATGTATCATATACATGATTAGGGTAACTGGTACATCTGTCACCTCAGACATTTATCATCTTTTTGCCTTGACAGCACTCAAAAATCCTCTCCACTGGCTATTTTGAAGTATACAATTAAGTGTTGTCAACCATAGTTACCCTATTGTACTAGGAAACACTAGAAGTTATTTCTCCTACTCCTTGTAACTGTTAACCATCTTCTCCCCATCTCCCTCTCCCCCACATTCTTCCCAGGCAGAACCAATGCTACAGATTATAGAAGGAAAAGTAGTTTTCTCTTTAATCAATGTAATTGGCTTTTGTTGTGGCTTTTAGAAATCTACTGATTCAACTGATCATTTATTTTTCATGCTTTGATATATTGCTAATTCTTATAAACTTAAAGGCACAGGTATTGCCTATTAAATGCCCTTTGGTCTTTCCTGGCCCAGGGCTATGTCTTTTAAATTAATGATGATGATTGAGCTGCCTTTGATCTTTTAAAGCAGTAATTTAAGCAACCTTTAAAAAACAAAAACAGGAAAGTTTAAAATCATAGCTGGAATTCAAGTATGAAAACCTGAATTCAGTCCACTCTCATTTTCCTTATTCCAGTCTCTAAGTAGGTAACAAATGCCAGATACTAAGAACAAATGTTCAGCAATGTCCACCCCTAGCTCCCTGCCAGAGCACAGTAATACTTTTGATGATTGTGGCCTGCATGTTAGACACAGCATAGAACCTAAAGCAGCCTATAGCTTGTCAACCTGAGAGGAACTAATGGTGACATTAATGAATAAGAGCCATCATCTATCTCTAAACGCTCTGTGGCCATGGGACATAGCAGTTTACACGCATTATCATTTATTCCTCACAACCCTAAAAGAAGGACTGTTATTATCCACAGGAGAGGAGGATTCCTCCCCTTGGAAACTGTACAAGAATACCCCGCCCGCAATCACATAGAACCTGTGAGCAGATTCCTCTCTCAGGAACGGAGCCTTTCTCAACTGACTTGCTCTGAGTCAGATGGTGTCCATAGGGTGTGCCAATTCAACCCCGCAGACCTCAAAGATCACTGTTTTTGCCCTAAACATCTGACAGCAAGAAAAAAATAATAGCTTTATTCCCTCAGAGGCAGGCACTTTGCCAACAAAACTTAGTCTTTCAAAGGGAATGAGATGTGGGAATAGTTGAAAGGCACGTTTATGCCACATCAAGGTAAACCAATTAGCCAAGAACACATGAAAGTAAGAGTTTTGACTGCTTTTAGCTTCACATTTACCAGAAGAATTTACAAGTTTTACTTTGAAGGTCAGGCTGTGAAGAATTATTTCAGAAAATTGTTCCTAGCTGCCTCTGAAGGTAAAGGCACAATTTTGCCCCTAGCTTAAACAATAGTTTAAGAATTTTTTATTTGTAATAAACATGGCCACTTATGCCTCACTACTACTGCCAGCTCTTCAAATCAGTTCTGAGGTTGCTGACAACCATGACAGTCTACAAAATGGGGGAATTACATGGAGCAGTTTTCCTATTTCCTTCTCAAAGTCAGACAAATTTGGCTGGAGGAGGGGCAAGACTGGTAGTGGGCTGATGATCAAGCACAAATGTTATATTATTTTTTTGAGGCATTATCGAAACTTTTGGGTAGCAGTAAGTATGAAATGTGGATACCATGTGGTGCCTGGTCTAGAAATGGAACACTGATGATGTGTGATGTTTTGGCCTAAGGAAATATCTATTTATATATTCTTCATCAAAGGCAAACATTCTTTGCATTGCTATTTGCCATTCTCATTCAAGCTCTACGGTAAAGAACTAAAGAATTATTTTTACTCATCAATACAACAAAAAAGATTTTCCATGCTTTTCTAAGCCATACTAGTAAAGCCTGGGTTTGCATTTCCTGGTATGACCTGTGGTATGAAAACTCCAAAGTTGGTTCCTTCTTTCTCCCACATCCAGAAGCCTCCCACATTGCTTAAGCCTGGCTCCAGGGAGCTCTTACAATCATCTTTTTCCATGCATGTATTTGTGGTTAACCCACTTTAGTTTGTCCTACAGTGGCTGCTCTGTCATCCACCCTCATGTCCAGCCCAACAGATGTGGGTTCAGGAAGCAAATCCTGATAAACAGGCAGCTTCCAGAACCCAGTAAGTGCTGACCGTGGTGACATAGCTATAGTATCTTTCTATGGCCTCAGTGAGGTGCTGGGTTTTATCCATGGTGAGATGGGAAAGCACGAGATGATTCGGCCATGTGGAAAAGTGACATTGTCTGGTTATGTGTCCACAGGATCCTAAGGGCTTAGAATGCCATCAAAATCAGCCAGACAAGAAGTGATGGTGGCTTGGACAATGTGGTAACAGTGGAGGCAGTGAGAGGAGGTGGGACCCTGGGTGTAGAAATAAAACTCAAGCCTTCTATAAGAAGATGCTGGGGCCGGGGATTTAGCTAAGCAGTTCGGTGGCCTGCCTTGCAAGCGCAATGACCGAAGTTCAATCCCTGGTACCCACCCAAAAAAAAGAAGATGCTATAGACAGTCTCAATAATCATTTCAAGCTCTGAATGTCAATATATTATTTTTTCTGTATTTCCTGATACTTCAACTGTCAGAGATTTTCAAATATTGCTAGGATCTCCATCTTTTTTACATGGAGTGCTACACCAATACAGCTCTCCTGAAAGGGTCATGCTTCCTAAAGGGAGGATCACCCATGGTTGCAATATTGTAATAAATTGAATTCTTAAAATCTGTCTTCTCTATTGGTAGACACAATTCTAGGTCAAACAGAACAATGTCTTACCAGAAGACAGAAATAACACCACCTCCAAATTTCAAAGTACTTTTATTACAAGAAGCCTAGATAGTCCCAAATCACTATACTCAATATTTAATGAGCTCTTATTATTTATCATTTATCTATTGCTATATAACAAACTACCCCAAAACTTGGCAGTTAAGGCCACATGCACTTTTTGTCTCACTTTCTGTGGGTCAGTAAATCAGGGGTGGCTTGGCTGGGTCTTCTGCTTCATGATCCCTCACAAGGCTCAGTCAAGGTGTTAACTAGGCCTGTGATCACCTTGGAAGGCTTAAGTGAGGCAGGATCCTCTTCTCAGCTCACGTGGGTGCTGGAATGTGTTGGGTTGAGGACCTCAGTTTCTTGCAGGCTGTTGGCTATCCTTAACTCCTTGCCATATGGGCCTCTCTCAAGCTGATTCTACAGCTTGCTTCATCAAAGCCAGAAAAAGGAAGACCTGCTAGCAGGATGAGGGTCATCATCTCTTGAAACCTAATATCACAGAAGTAACATCCATCACATTGGCTGCATTCTGTGAGTTAGGAACAAGTCACTAGGTTCAGACCATACCTGAAGGAGAAGCGTACACAAAGGAATGACTGTCATTAGCAGGGGTCACTGGCCTCCATCTTAGAAGATGCCTACTGCACACCACTGATTTATTGACTCTGATATTTTCAGCACTATTCTAAGCCTCCATCATGAAACTTCCATGGAAAAAAAAATCAAGAAAATGTAGATTCTGGTGGTGATAAGTACCACTGAGAAACAGAAAGCAGGAAGTAGTATTATTAATTATTATTGTTACTATTGTTACTCCTTTGGCAATAAGGAGATGCCTCTTTAATCCAGGACCAGAAAGGTCTCACGGTTGTTCCAATTTTCTGACTCCACCCTGTTTTCTCTTCTACCCCTACTTACCTGAATATGTCTAGCCTGAGGCCTCTAGGTGGTGGGCAGTGTAAATGAAGCAGAAGGATAATGGGGATGGACAGCAGAGCATAGTCATTAACAACATAAGTTCTGGGGACAACATGTCTGTTTAAGTCACTGCCAGGTAACTGTGGACAAGTTATCTACCTCTCTGCGCCTCAGTTTCCTCTTCTGTAAAGTGAGGATAATAATAGGTCTTAGCTCCTAGGGGTTTTGTCATTTAAAGTTTAGAAGAAAACCTGGAACAGAAGCAATAGGTATGCAGATAGTAAGACCCCATCAAGAAAGGAAAGCAAATTTAACAGCATAAACTAAAGAAGGAACTTCCAACACCATCACATTAAAGAGCATGGATTCTGAGCCAGTAAGAAAACAGAAAAAAAAAAAAAGACAATTCATTTTGAGTATAACTAGACCACAGACTAGGATATCACAAGGTTTTAAAATTTAATATTTGATAGGTTTGATTCATTCTGTTTCAAAAGTGGCATTGTGTATGAATAGATAGCATCTCTCATAAATATATTTTACAGTTCCTAGTTCTAAGACTTTCTAGTTCTTCAGGAAGTCACTGGTCATGCTATTTCTCAAGTGCCAATTAACTGGGATATTTATTTTTGCTTCTGATATTCCTTCCTGGGAACAGGTTTGTTTCTCTCCACAGGCCTTTCTTGCCCTAATTAAAATTGAGTAAGATCTCTTCAGAATATTTTGCTAAAGATTAAGAGAAAGAATATTGTACTAAAATATAAAACAGATACAGCTTTAATTTTTTGAAAAGCATAACTTAAAGATAGAACACAAATAGTAAAAGATAAAATTAGATGAGTCTTGATTTCCTACTACTTTGAGCAAATAACTGGGGGTCCTCTTTCCAGGGCCTTTCCATTATCATCATCATAATCACCATCATTATCATCATGAGGGTTCGTACTGCCATTGCCGTTTTCCCTGTCCTGAGCAGTCCACCCAGGCACTGCTGTACCAGGAAAAGTCAGGGAGTGGTGGAATATAAATAACATCACAAGGATTCAGGAACAGGTGGCTGAAGAACAAGCAGGGGCTGCAAGTCAGGACTCTTTTTCTTTTTCTTTCTTTTTTATGATAGCTGAGATTGAACTCAGGACCTTGTGCTTACAAGGCAGGCAGCAGAACCACTGAGTCAAATCCCTGGCCCAGGACTCTTCTTTCTTGAACTTTAACATCCAGGGGAAAGAGAAGATACAGTATCTTCTGTGGTTTCAGTTACATGTAGTCAGACAGGATCCAAAAATATTGAATGGAAAATTCCAAAACAAATCAAAATTTTAGATAACTTTTATTATAGCACACTGTTAATAATGAAATATTGTTCTAGTTTATTATCAGGTGTTGCTGCTCCTTACGGTGCCTGCTTTATGAGTTAAATTTTATTATAGAGATGTACATACAGGAAAAAACATGGACTGCATAGGGTTCAGCACTATCTACAGTGCAGGTATTCACTGGGGATCTTAGAATGTTTCATCTGAGGGTGGGAGGGGATAGCAGTTAGAGTTGATTAAGAAGGTCAACAGCTGTATATATGCACGTGTGTGTGGTACTGTCGTACTGAGGACTGAACCCAAGGCCTTCACACTGAGCTATATCACCTGCCCATTTTTTGTTTATTTATTTTGAGGCAGGATCTCACTGAATTGCCCAGGCTGGGCATGAATTTGTGATCCTTCTGCCTCAGCCCCCCAGAATGCTGGGATTTCAAGTGTGCACCACTACACTCAGCTTTGTTTTTTAAAGTGGAGAAACCTGAGCTTATTTGTTGGCTGAAGAAGCATAAAAATATGCATAAAATGAAGATGGAACAAAAAGGCCATGATTAACTGCTCAGTGGTGGGATGAGTATCCCAGGGGACACACTTGCAGCCATTTAATTAATAGGTTTTCAAAACCTTCCCTAAGTGACTATCCTGGGCAGCCAGGACTGAGGCACCCCCTAACAGCTTGGCTACCTGGAGCACCTGGAGCAGCACCTGCTGCTCTTCCCCTAGATTTCCTGTCACTGGGTCTAGAGAGTTTCTCTGAACAGGTCCACATGGAGAGATGTCCTGTCCTGTCGGTGAGATGCAATCTGCTCAGGACTGGGGTGGTACTCGTCACAAACCAAGGCCGGTTCACAACATTTGGCTTGAGGTCTCCTCTGCCCCTTATCTCTGAGAGCTGATTCTTAGACGCACATATTGAACAGCAAAGAGAAAATGCGGGTAAGAAGAGCATGATAATCTAAATACCCTTCATTTCTCCAGAGTTGAAGAAAGTTCCAACCAACATCCCTCCAGATATTGTTAAACTTGACTTGTCCTATAATAAAATCAACCAGCTGAGGCCCAAGGAATTTGAAGATGTTCATGAGCTAAAGAAATTGAACCTTAGCAGCAACGGCATCGAATTCATAGATCCTGGTAAGCACCACTGAGCAGCTCCCTAAGTGGACAATGGGTGTTCTGTGGATTTTTCTCTTATGGCCACCTTTACAGTGAACATGATTTAGTTTAAAAAAGAAAGAAATGAAACTAAGCTAAACAATTTAAGAGTATATATTTTAATGAATCACAGCACTTAAGTCAGACTTTTTTGGCATTTGGAGAAATATTTGCCAAAATGTTGCTCTTATGTTATTTTATTTTTTATTTTTTTGAGATGGGGTCTCATTTGTAGTTCAGTCTGGCCTTGAACTCACTATGTAGCCCAGGGTGGTGATCCTCCTGCCTCAGCCTCTCCAGTGCTGGGATTATAGGTGTACACCAACAAAGTAGACCAAAATGTTGTTTTATGAAGTGTGTGACACTATTCACAGTTGTCCATTGGGGTTCACGAGAGAGTGGCTCTAGGAGCCATACCAAAATCTACAGATGCTCAAGTCCCTTATATAAAATGGCACAATATTTGCATGTAACTATGCAGTCCTCCCCTATACTTTAAATCATCTCAAGGATACTTAGAATATTTAACGTGATGCAGATAGTTGCTACACTGGATTATTCAGGGAATAGTGACAAGAAACAAGTCTATTCAGCAAAGTACACGTTCAGTACAGATGCAATGTTTTTCAAATAGATTTGGCCCATGGTTGGTTGAATCCATGCTGTATACACAGAACACTGACAGGATAGTACAAAGCTATATTTATTCTGTCAGCCCAATGACTCAAAGTATTTTGTACAATAATTTTTTTAAAAATAGGAATTCATGGCAAGTTGCCAATAATACACTAACTGTATAATGATTTTTATGTGGAAATTCAGATTTGCGTTTTCTTTGCTATTGAGCCCTTACTTGTTCAGAATAAATTTGAAACTGACTGCTAAATACCAGGCTCACTATGTAAGATAAAATGTACTCAGCCAGTGATGTAGCTCAGTGGCACCACACCTGCCTGGCAAGCGGCAAGCTCCTGAGTTCAATTTTTAGTATCAGAAAAAATAAAGAAAGAAAATAAAAATAAAAATGGCCAGGCATGGTGGCACACACCTGTGATCCCAGTGCTTGGGAGGCTGAAGCAGGAGGATTGCTACAAGTTTGAGGCCAACTTGGACTACACAGTGAGTTAAAGGCCAGCCTAAACTACACAGTGTGACCTTGTCTCAAAAAAAAAAAATTCTTTTTGTTCAAACCAGAGCAAGACATTTTATACCTAATCCTCAATCAAGACTAGATCACTTTTGCACTCCTCAAATCTCTTCTCCATTTGCTAAGCAAAGCCTTGGCAAAAATGAATTTGGTTAACTGAGTAAACACATAAGATTTGGAAGGCACTGAGAGTCACAGCAATTTTGATCAGATGTGTAGCATACATAATACATGTGCCTTTATGATATTTCAATTTGAAAAATGATATGAAATTATTTTAATAGTATTAATAATTCAATATTTATGTTCTAAACATTTTGAGTACAATTGCTTCTCCTGATCCTCTTAATTGTAATCTAACATCATGAATAAAACACTCAAATTTTAATACGATAGAAGTAACAATGAAGGATGAATATTCTGGAGCCCCAAAGGCATATTTTAGGATTAATGTCATTTTGCCAGGCGTGGTGGTACATGCCTATAATCCCAGCACTTGGGAGGCTGAGGCAGGAGGATCACTTTGAGTTTGAGACCAGCCTGGGCTACTTAGTGAGTTCCAGGTCAGTCTCAACTACATAGTGAGACCCTGTCTCAAAAAACAAAACAAACAAACAAAAAAAGATTAAGGGTCTTTTTAAATATGGAAAATGTTTAAACATTTCTCCAGAGAAGAACAATTTGCTACACTTAAATATCACAGTCTGTACAGATATGGCAAATTTCAGAGCATTTTTGAATGATGAGGGTCAAAAGCGATTTTTATTTCACAGTAAAATAAGAACACTACAGACACCCTTCAACCACAGGAAACGATTATTGAATTAGTATGCAGGTCAGTGACTGGGTAGCTAGGGTCTCCAAAGCCAGGTCACTAGGTGAAGATGTGGAGGTGAAGACCTTCTCTTGCCCCATGAGAACCAGAGATTCACAGGACAGTTGTGCCATGCCACAGGTCCCTTGGCAAGTGTTTAATCTCCTTCAATGCTATTGCCCACAGCTGTAGCTTACCAATGATCAAAAGTATGGATGCAGACAAGTTTTAGAACTCTTTAAAAGAAACTAAGATGTTAGTAATTATATAGCCTAAGTTAAATGTACTAAAGCAGTGAATAATAATGCAACAATATTGTAATTAACAGTAGTACAGGTATGTAAAGAACACTAGAGAAAAATAAAAGAAAAACAGAGAGCTAGATAGTAGTTGGAGAATGGATTTGTTTTACTTTCAGGGATATTTTTTCCTGCTCAGTCATGGAATTCACATAATTGCAAGGATCTCTTCTGTGCTTGGGAATCTTTAATGTTGTTCACCCAACAATTAATGTTGTGCCTCTTCCTTGCTAATATTTGACATGATCCTTGTTCTCCTCAGAGGAACTCTTTTTTTTCCCCCATATCTTCAATTCAGTCATAAGGAATATATTTCCTACACTATAACAAATATGTACTGAACATCTACCAAATGCCAGACACTTTTCAGGGAACATCCTCTGGAACGAAAAAGTATCTCAGCACTTAAGGCAAAACAATGGGTCTTTCACAATAAAAGACCTACTATACAGGTCAGGGTCTTTGAGATGAAACACTTCCAAAGTAGACTTACCATAAAGATTTATGTGGTAAGTAAGCAAATTCAGTGAGAGTTGCCAGAATTTAAAAGGCATGAATAAACAACCTCATAAAATGCTAGGCATAAGACAGAAAAGGAAAAGAAGCCACCCTATGAAGGGTTTTACCTCCTTTAAGAAACATGAAAACTAGCTTTTCCAAGTGCCTGAATACATATGGCTTAAGTAACAACTATAGCACTTTCAAAATAAAATTTAGGAATGTTTATACATGCTACCAATCTGAAGAGTTGAATTGTTCTTAAGAATTGTTTAGGAGATCACTGACTCATAGAATTTTAAGAAATAGGAAAAAAACATGCAGTGCTTTCAGAACTATCATCCCAAGTGCTGACCTTTTGTTTCCCTTCCCCCACCCCAAGCCATTGCTTTGTACCAAAATAGAAAGTCTTTTTAGGGTGAATTATGGGTTTTGTTGGAATACAGATAATATAAAAACAGTTAATGGTACTGCTATGCCAGCACACTTTCCAAATTCTTAATAAGCATGCTATGTTCTAACAAGGATATTTTAAAACAGCCAGGAGAAAATGCTTGAAATAGAAACAAAACACTTGAAATCTGCATTGACCTGTAAATTTTGGGGTATCCAGCTGGTACCTGTCAACTGAAGTAGGAATAATAGAGGCACCAATTTTTTTGTGCTTGGGAGGAAGGGGAAATTTTTTTGTCATTTTATTTGTTACATGTTTGATATTTATTCTATTTACCCATTCTTCGGAAAAATTAAATACATGTGGATTCCAAGATGATAGCTACCAGAGCTTGCCAAACCCCACCAGATGTTTTCATAACATTGTTAGAAATTGTTTTTGGACTGAACAGGAATAGAATCCCCCTAAGCTGCAAAAAATTGCTCTTTTGTGGCATCTTTCCAGTAAGTGTGTTTTAAAAATATACCACAGAAAAAATATTTTTAAAACTCACTTAAAACTGATATTTCAAACAAAATATTGTTTTCTAGTCAACCTAATCAATAGAAAAACTTTGCTTAAATAAAAATATTTCCAAAATTTTGCATTCAGACACATATACAGTAGGGAAACACACTTAAAAACAAAATCTGCCAACCCAGAATTCCTTTCCACAAAGGCAGAAGAGAAGTCGGTTTTACACCAGAACTGATGCACGCCCAGGCAGTCACTAGTGGACTGCAGATGTGGAAAGAACCCTCGCCCTCTCTCTTGTAACCCATTGCACAATTTCAGGAGAGTCAATGACAAGTCCTCCAGTAAGACGCTTGACAGTGCATTTTATCACACATAGCCCATCCCAGTTTACCAGGTTAGTAGGATGACCATCTGGATTAGCTAAATTGCCTTTATCCATAAAAAACAGAATTCAGTATTTCTGACAGGAGGTAGTGTTGCGAGTGGATGCAAGACTCCATCAAACTGAGGCCCCTGCCCTGCACAGAAGCTGGAAGACCAGGGTGCTATCTCCTTTGAGGCTTAGGTTTCAAAGAGATGGCTCCCAGTTCCTTGAGAAAGGTGGTCCTTGGTGTAAAGGTAACCAGTGGCCTATTTAGTCTTCAGAAGGACTTAAAGACATTTCAAAAAGAGGACAGAGTATGTATAATTACAAGTTTTCTAAAGTAAATGCTCTGAGAAAAAGGAGAGAAGGAAGATCTTTTCCTTTACACTTTCCAATAGGAAGAATCAGGTCTCTTCATTCTCTACTTTGAAAAACTGCAGTGACTCAATTACTCCTTGGTTTAATAAGTATTTTCTATTTCTAGCTGCCTTTTTAGGACTCACACATTTAGAAGAGCTCGATTTATCAAACAACAGCCTGCAAAATTTTGACTATGGGGTATTAGAAGACTTGTATTTTCTGAAACTATTGTGGCTCAGAGATAACCCCTGGAGATGTGACTACAACATTCACTACCTCTACTACTGGTTAAAGCATCACTACAATGTCCATTACAATGGCCTGGAATGTAAGATGCCTGAAGAATACAAAGGGTGGTCTGTGGGAAAATACGTTAGGAGTTACTATGAAGAGTGTCCCAAAGATAAGTTACCAGCACACCCCGAGACATTTGACCAGGACACAGAAGATGATGAGTGGGAAAAAATACACAGGGATCATACAGCGAAAAAGCAAAGTGTAAGAATCACTATAGTGGGGTAACTCAGAAATTGTTCTGGTTGTAATTAGTTCCATATTTGCTGTACTGGTGTCAGAAAACTGTGTGTTTACATTTTGACTGTGTTGCTTATTTATGCAGGGTAATCCAGCTACAGGAAGCTTTTTTTAATTATTTTGTTTTTATGTTGTGACAATAATGTTGCTACATTTATTGTTTTTATGTTGTGACAATTTTTATGTTGTGACAGTTAATCAAGGGAATACTCTTATTTTGCTTGCCTATCTGTTTATGGAGCAACTTTTAGAGATACATGATTCCACACTGGTGACCTGCAGGAACTGGGTCCTAATGGTGGCAATGACATTTCATAATGTCCTGTATAAATGTTTTTACTGCTTTTTGAAAATAAAAAACTTGGTGCATTTTATATGCCTTTCAATAGCTCCTTGTACATACCTCAAGATGATCAAAATGAAGATACAGATGCTTAATCATAATCAAATGTCTTTCCCTCCTCCTGCCCACCCCTCACTTTTATTCAGTAAGTCTTATACATTAAATAAATCTCCATTTCCAATTCCTCTACATCCTAAAATGAGGTCCTATTAAACCCCAATTCCCACCCTATGGGATCCTTGCAACCAGGAGGACAATTGTCACTAGAGGCAATAAGACAATTAGAGAATATGAGAATCATATTAATGGAAACTGGTCAGAGGATGGACTCTGGGATGCAGATGTACACGGTGTGAATTATGAGCCTGAAGAGGTATAAACATGAGTGAATGTGGAAATAACACTAAGGTTTTTGTTAAGTTTTTTTGAGCAGTGTTCAGGAAGCCACCTGTTTGTAGTGAAGGCATAGCATTCCCCTCTAAGATAAAATTTCCCGCTAAGATAAAACGACAAGGACCATAAGACAAAGCACAAAATTAGGATGCAGGGGTGAGAATTTGGGCTGAAGCCAAAACAAAAATAAGGAAATAAGATCCAAGGCAACCAAGGGAGGTAGTGGAGTCCAAGATAATCCCCCAAAACTTGAAGGTTAAAATTAGCTCCTCTAGAGAAACAGACAACTAGAAAATGAAGAAATGCATGGAGCATTTAAACCTCCAATGCCATCAGCTTGCATTTTGATAGCTGATTGTATTCTATATGAAGAGGAAAATAAGGTGAAAAGAAATATATAGGCAGTAAAATGCTACTTTTCCCCTTTTATATGGATTCCCTTTTCATGGTGAGTTGGATACGTTTTCACTTCTTGTGTCAATGTGTTCTTCAAAGGTTAGCAACTGGTATTATTTGATAGACATTTGCACAATTCCCAAAACATGAGAATATGATGTCATATGATGGACAGTACTGAGTGATTTTCAACCACCGACTGCATTCAGGGCACTATGCTCAGAGTCTCACATAGTCCACTTAACATTCTCACAGGACCCCTCCAAAGAAGAAAGTGTTATCTGCCTTCTATAGATGAGAAATCCAGGGCTGAGGGTTTAGGTAATTTGGACAAAGCCACACAGCAGGCAGGTGGCAGAGTCAGGATTCTGGTCCACCTGAACTCTTTCTGCTGAACAGAGCTGTGGGTCACTGAAAAGTTACTCTGCCATCAAATCCAGATTCAAATCCCCAAAAAGCAGCAGGTACAAGGAAGGTTGTCTTTCTCCCCAGAAGAACCCAGGAAAGCAGCTAGCAGAAGAGAATCTCTGGCCTGAAACACGTAAGTCTCTATTACTATGTACAGGAAACCAAGAGAGTGGGAAGCTGAAGAACTGCCAGAGTTGGAGGTTACCAAGGTGACTGGATCACGTGAGGTTCTAACCACGCTACCCATCTTACCAGTGGAAAACAGGTTTTCAATGCAAATCTCACATCACACTATGGGGCATTAAAAGATAGCTGTTGAAACTAAAGTGTTACCAGAGGGATGTAACAAATTCGTTTATTATTGTTCATGAGCCTCTGAGTGGAATGTTAGGATCAGAAACAGCCAAGATTTGGTGATGAAGAAAGCCCAGTGTGACCTCAGTAGGAGGAAGAAGGGTTGCACAGGGAACAAAAGGATTCTGGAACAAAATGAGGAGATTTCATCTGATTCTAAGAAAGGGCCCAAATTGTTCTCTAGTTTAATTTTTAGAGGCTAGCTGGGGGTTTTATTGGTTGATTTTTTTTTTTTTACCCCTCCTTGGGACAGGATCTCACTCTGTAGCACAGGCTGGTCTTGCATGTGGAATCCACTTGCCTTATTGTTGGTTGATTTTTATATCTGATATCATCCCCAGGGATTTATTTGGAAATAAAGTTCTGGAACACATCAAAATAGAAATTAATGCAAACCATCTAAAAGTCAGTCAGTTGGAGTCACTAATCTCTCTCAGGATCTTAGCTGAAGTACATTTTTGCAAGCTTAAGATTTGCTTCATCTCTATATCATAGTTCATGTTTTTTCAGGGAATATAGTTGATACATAATGAACTGAATAATGTAGACACTTCTCTGACCAAATTTTTTCCTCTAATAACTTGCCTTTGAACTTTCCTTATGTTCAGGAGATTAAAAGAATAAGTATATTTCATGCTAGTCAAAAACCTGATGGGGGCCAGGGGTTTAGCTCAGTGGTTCTGCTGCCTCCCTAGCAAGGCACAAGGTCCCAAGTTCAATCTGGTTAATTTTCATCTAAGGCCTAAAACTACTGTACAAGTCAGCCAATTTGGCCCCAAAGATCAGCCAGTATTTATTTTCAAATTAAAAACCAGAACAGGGCCGGGGATTTAGCTCAGCGGTTTGGTGGCCTGCCTTGCAAGAGCAAGCGCAAGGACCCAAGTTCAATCCCCGGTACCAAAAAAAAACCAAAACCAGAACAACGAACTTCTTGCCAGAAACGTATGTAGCTCCAGACACATAAACAGAGAAGCTGAGGAAAAATTGTTGTCAGTTGTTTGAGGCGGGGGAAAGAGGAGTCAGTGCTTAATGTGTACCAAGTTTCAGTATAATGTAATGAAAAAGGTTGGAGATAGATGATGATGGTTGAACAATGTGCATGTACTTAATGCTAGAGAATCGTATTCTTATATTGTTAAAATGGTAATTTTTCTGTTATCTATAGTCTACAAATTTTAAAAAAGCCAAAAATACTGATTGGTTAAAGCAATCAATAAAACTAACAACACTTTCATTAGACTCATCAAAAAAAAAAATCAGAGAAGATACGTATTACTAAAACAGAAATAAAAATACTTTAATACCGAGATTATTATTAATAATCCCATAAAGTATAAGAGAATATTATAAACAATGATACTTGAACTAATTAGATAAGCTAATGGAACTGACAAATTCCTAGAGACACTCAAACTACCAAAATTAACTCAAGAGAAAAAACAAAATATAACTAACTCTATAGTAAGTAAAGATATTAAATAAGCAAACAAAAAATTTCAACAAACAAGAGCCGAGAACCAGATGGCTACATTAACAAATTCTAACAAATATTTGAAGAATAATTAGTGCCATTCCTTCTCAGTCTTAAAAAGAAAAATAAGAGAAAACACCTAACTCATTTGATGAAGTCAATATTACCCTGATGAAGAAGCCAGACAGGTATCACAAGAAAGGAGAATGGCAGGGCTAGGATTTAGCTCAGTGGTACTGTGCCTGCCTCACATGCACAAGGTCCTGAGTTCAATCCCTGGTACAAAACAAATAGATAAAAAATTTAAAAAGAAAGAAAAGAAAAAAAGAAAGAGAGAAAGGGGAATAACAGACTAATATTCCTTACACACAAAATAGATGCAAACTGGGCTCATCGGTGCACACCTGCAGTCCCAGCCACTGAGGAAGCTGAGACAGGTGCTATAGTTTGGATCTAAAATGGTTCCCAAAAGCCTCATGTGTTTGGCAGCTCATCAGATTATGGGGTCACTACACTCACCACTGGATTAATCCAATGATGAATGAATCCCTAGCTGATTTGCCACTGAAAAGGTCGTAAGACTGCAATCCAGAAGAAAAGACTAGAGCTAAGCAATTGAGAAAATGCCTCTTGTTGATCCTGATGTACTGCTCTACAGCAAACATCTAGAAAGTACTGAAAGTTTTATAAGAGAGTTCATTACCCACATGGGCTTAACTGTAGAGCAGGTGGTGTGCACCCATGGAAGAGTTCATGGCCTTCCCTTAAAAAAAAAAACAGGCTCCTCCTTTCCCTCCCTACTTCTTGGCTGCCATGACATGAGCAACTTTCCTCCACTCTGCCCTTCCACCATGTAGTTTCAGTATGTAAACCTGCTGAACATGGAGTGAAACCATAAGGCAAAATAGACCTCTCTTCCTTTACGTCAGATAAATTGTCCCAGACACTAGGAGAATGACTAGGACAGATGGCTTGAGCACACAAGTGCCAGCCCAGTCTGACCAGAATAGTAAGATCTGTCTCATAAGTAAATAAATGAAAAATAGTAAAACAAAACAAAACAAAACAAAAAAAAAAAACTTTAATATTAGCAAGCAGAATATACAGCAAGGATTATATGCCATGAACAAATGAGACTGATCTCACAAATGTAAGGGTGATTCAACATATGTTTGTAAATAGAAACATGACTGTTGATGAGAAAAGGCATTTGACAAAATCCAGTAAACTTTTTTGATAAAAGCACTCAACAAAGTAGAAATCTAATTCAATCAAGGACATTTTTAAAAGAACCACAGCTAGCATCTCATTTAACAGTGGATAAAAACTTTCCCCTGAGATCAAGAACAAGACAAGAATGTCTTTGTTTACAACTTATATTCAATACTGAAGTTCCTGTCTGAGCAATTAGGTAAGAAAAAGAAATAAAAGACAGAAAATGTAGGGTTCCTTTTCAGGCTGATTAGTGTTTTAGAATGAGATAGTACTCCTGGTTGTAAAACAATATGGAAATACTAAAAATCATTGAATTATTCTTAGTGTTTAGAAGAGTAAATTTTATATGAACTTCCCAAAGTTAATAAATAAATTTCATAAAAGCTTCATTCCATTTTTCAACAGCTGTTGCTGTTATGAGATTCTTAGGTTAATCCAAAACATTGAATCCTGTATTTTGAGCCCATTTTCTTCTTTCAAAATTATAGATTTATTTAATAGTATATTTTAATGTCTATTTCTGTATGTGTATGTATTGTGTGCAAGATTTAATAAAAAATATGGTATGTTTAAAAGTAATTTATTACAGTGAAAGACACATTGCTATGAATATTCTTCAAAGTAGTTTCCCTTATTTCAAATATAAACACATTTATCCAATTATTCTGAAATAGTTCTGGGAGTCCTCTTTTGTGAGTGTCTTTACAAAGTGTGATCAAAAATGAAGTAAATGCTGCTGTGAAGTGCCATCCAAATGAAGGGCAGGCTGTAAAAAGCCAACCGTGTTCCTCGTCCACCTCATTCACCAGATTTGACACCATGAAACTTCTGGCTCTTCTCCAAAGTTGCAATCATTATAAAAAAACAAATGTTTTGAACTGATCCATGGCGTCACAGTAGCCATGACAGGGGAACTACAAGCTCTCCTGAAGGAGGACTCCCAGAACTGCTCCAGAAAGTGGCAAGAACGACGAGACAAGTGTGTTCATAGCAAAGGGGGATGTTTTCAGTAGGTTGATGGAAATATGTGTTTTACTGTAGTAATTTTTAAAAATGTAAACACTCACTACAGTTTTTGATCATACCTCATATATACAAAATATTCTGAGGAGAGAGAAAGAAACAAGGGAGGTAGGAAAAGTAGGGAGAGAAAGAAGAGAAGGAGGGAGGGAAGGAGGGAGAAGGAAGGGAGAGCGAGTCCTTATTGTCTGGAATGAGCATGGATCATATGCTCTTCCTGCCAAAAAATGTATACAAACTTCAGCAGTCATTAGCACCACCTGTAACTGTAGAGGCCACAGGAAGCTTGTATTAATCTTGCTATCCCAATAAATTTAGTATTAAAATATTTATACAAGTTTTTCTTTTCCTGATACATGTTTTGGCTTACTCTGTACTATATAGTTTTCCTCATTTGGAATATAAATGTTAAGTATAAAACTGCATCCAAAGGACACAAAGATTAATATCCCAGTGCAAGTACAAAGCAGCTTGAAAACAAATGGAAATAAACTGGGTGCGGTGGCACACGCCTGTAATCCCAGCACTTGGAAAGCCGAGATAGGAGGTTCACCTTGAGTTCTAGGCCAGCCTGGGCTACATAGTGAGTTCAAGGCTGGCCTGAATGACATAGTGAGATCCTGTCTCAAAAAAATGATATAACTTCAATATCCATCAATAGGAAGATTAAATAAATTATTGTGCATCTAAAATATGGGAAATAATTTTATGGTATTTACAAAGAACTTAATCTATAAGTACTGACTTTTATGTTTCCAAAACATAAAAGAAAATTAAAATGATATGATCTCCTTCACATTTCAAGTGAAAATTGTTTATTTTGAATCAAGTATGAATATGTAAATGTATTTTAGAAAAACAGTTTTAAAATGTATAACTTTGGCTGCGAAGGCTTTAAGAGGAGGAAAGGAGATGTTCCTACTGTTGTTACATTTTTAAAAATGATAATACATTCTTGTATTATATTTTTATAGATAAGTTGATACTACATGGATGGGCAAATGCTGGACCAAAAGAAAGTAACCCGGGAGAAGGGCAAAGGACAGACACCCGGACTCACAGTCTAGTCAGAGCTGATCATATTACAAGTACTTTCAATGGCTGGAATGGCTGTTTTTATGACCTCAGACCATCAGTGAAGATTTCGTTTTATTTATGCTTTTCTAGATATTTGCTTACATAGAATACAGGAAAATAAGACAAATAGTTGTCATGAACATACTTACTGACAGATTTCAAAGTTTTTGGTCGGAGAACACAACCACGAAAATTCAAATGCAGCACATTTAAACGCCACCTTTGCAAAGTCGACACTATGTATCTATCTGTAATCACACTTTTCACTGTGGAAAAGTCAATCTAAAAGAGATAAATGAAAAGCATTAAGAGAAACAAGAAAGATCTGTTTCATGTCAAAATTTAAAATATTTTAAAGCATCAAGTACTAAAAGCTCCTTAGCACATCATTTCCAAAAAGAAAAGGAAACTGAAATGTTGAAGTACTCCATCTAGTACTACACGCAAATTCCATAAATAAAAGAACAGATGTACACTTTCAAAAATGATTTGAGTTGGCTGTTAAAAAATACTATACTTCGTGTAGGATAAATTAAATTGCATTCTCTTAACCAATATGAATGTATTTCTGTAAGCATAGTTATGTTGAAATAAAGCTGTGGAAAGCATAAAAAATACCGTACATTAGGATAAAATATATAAACACAAATGGCTTTTTTTCTGGTGTGACAGTGGCCAGAGCCTTGTGCATGCCGGGCGAGCACTACTGCTGAGCTCAATCCCCAGGCTAGGAACCGTTTCTTAACATGAGTCAGCATCCTGTCTCTCTTCTGAGTTAAGATATGCAAAACAGAATAACAGTATCAGATATCAAAAAAACAGAGACCTAAGAAAATTTTGGAATAGAAGGTATTCATAACTCCATAAATTTTTGTGGTTATAAATCAACCCAACCTTTACCTGAATAATGTTGCCTCTAGGAATTTATCTGGCAGATACAATCACATATGTATGTTTTTAAAATAAGGACCAGGATGTCCACTACAGGATTTTAATAGCAAATGAAAGAAAAAAATTAAATATCTTTTGAGAAGAGACTGATAAATATAGGGGCCTCATAAAATTAAACTCTGGATCGAAGCTGAATTCAGGGCAAAAAGGTACAACTCATAAAGAGAAACAATATGGCCCAATATGCTGTTCTCAAATTGTCTAATCCAGTACAGTATCTACAGGATTTAACAGACCAAATGCTTCTGGAGTAATACTCTTCGATGACAATCTTTTGATGAAAACTAATACTCAGAGTTCAAGATTCTATTATTTTACAAGAACCTGGACAGCAGAAATCCTGTGCTGCCAGTCAGGCAGTATCAAATGGGAGGTAGGCATGTCTTACCCTACAAATTCTCAGTAACTGAGAGCACAGGCTTTGTAGTAGACAGGTTAGTTTGAATTCCAACTAAGACATTTAACAACTTAACAGCCCATCTTGAACTTAGGCTACTGTATTACTAAACTAAGCTTAGGAGTTTTGACTTTTGGTTTCTTTCTGTCTGTTCTTTTCTTTACATGTAAAATGAGAAAAAGAATAGTGTCTAATTCAGTAGGCTAGGGATAAATTCAGAAAATACAAGTGTAGTGTCACTCCCAGAATACAGGAGGCACTCAGTAAAAACTGGTTACAACTCTTCAAAAAAACAAAACAAAGCAGGACAAAATATGAAGTAAAGATTTTTTTACATTAAGCATGGAGTAGGACTACAATGCACAACACATAAGCAAAGCCTGCTTAATGTACATGCACACAGTGTTTGCTAAGATAGGTTTCTAGCCTGGCCCTTTACCCTATTCTTGCCCAACTACTATTTTGTAACCTGAAATATGCCTGTGTTTCTTATTCCAAAGGGACAATAGGGAGAGGACTTGGCTTACAGTAAGAATTCAGCATATATTGTCCCCCAATGACTTCTCTCATTTGTTTCTCGGATAACACTGGAATCTCGATAGCTATGATCATTTATGCCATCAGTCAATGTTCAGTGGCTGTCATTTCCTCTGTCGTCTCTAGGCCTGTCCCTCTTACTGTCAGCGATTGGAGGGGTGATGATAGCCTGTGCTCAGACTGTGACACTAAGGCGAGGTGGGAAGGTGCCGAGGGCTACAGGTGCCCAAGGCAACTCAGCACCGTCCTAGCCATCAGAGCACAGGCCCATCCTTGGCTGCCCGTCTCCCTCCAGTCTGGTTACCTTTACAGAAAAGCATCAGCACATAGTTCACAGAGAATCTACTCACCGCATTCCACAGCAAGTTCATTTGTGTCATTGACATCCAGGAGTGGTTAACTTGACCACATGTTATCACATCTCTTAAACTGAGGTACAAGAAAATCTAAACGCAAAGAAAAGTGACACAATTTCAAAGACTATGGGAACTTTGCAATAACTCCTCTGCTTATCTTGTATGTACATGATATGTATGCGTGTATGAATAACAGTAATATAATCCACACATTATAACAGCAGAAGTTTAACTACTAAATTTCTACCTGAAGACACCAATTTTACTCAAACTACTACAACTTTTCTGCTGATTAATTTATATGATACGATGCTTTTGTAAACAATGTTCTATATGTTGTGTCCCTACATGTGGTAAAACAAACTATGAACTCTATAATGTGGTGTTTTTTTTTTCATGGCTCTTTTCTTCATTTAAATTGAATTTATTGGTACATTCTAGGCTGCTATCAAGAAATCACACAATAACAAATGTTGGCACAGTTGTGGAGAGAAAGGAAACCTTCTCCATTGTTGATGGGAGTGCAGACTGGTGCAATCACTATGGAAGTCAATATGGAGAAACCTCAAAGAACTAGGATTAGAGGTTTCATGGCTCTTTATAGCCATTCCTAAACATTTCATTTAAAGGACTAGTATGAGGAATTTACACAAACCTCTTAAAAACAAAAATCTGAGAAGGTCTTCTAAAAGCAAAATTATAAACTGTGTCCTTTGTATGTAACAAACTGGAAACTCTGTAATGTGCTGTTTTTCATAGTTCTATACAACTTTTTCTTACCATTGAATTTAAAGCCCAATTATAAGGCATTTACACAGACCTTGTAGGCATAACAATGTGATCCTCCTAACTGACAGTTGCAGAAGGATGGTGAGGAAGATAACTTGTTCTATTTTCTGAATATAGGTAGAATCCTGCTAGAAAACTAGTAATTTCTCTAAAGAATAGCTGGTATATAGAATATTATTAGTAAATACTGAACTAAACTGGATTTTTCTAAAGTCACAGAATTATTGGAAAAGATCAATCAACCCACCTAATGTCTATCTCTGGAAAAATAGTATACTGGAAAATCAGGAAATCATGTTGATGCAAATGCCAAAAATTTTTTTAAAATGTGACTCACTTTACAAGAATGCAAGGGAAATCTCTAAGCACAGACTGGCAATAAGGTGCTCATAGGTTTTTGGGTAGTAGTCAGGGATGGTGGCTGCTTTTCATAATAAATGAAGTCAGAATTCACTAACCTGACCATGCAGCAACAGAAAAGTTGCAAAGCTCATACAAAACTGGGAAGTGTGCATGTGTATGCGTGCGTGCGTGTGTGTGTGTGTGTGTGTGTGTGGTGGGCAGGAACAAGGAGGCTATCCAGGATTATGAAAAGAGGAGCTAGAAAATAATTGATTTCTTGTCAAAAGAAAAACTAAGGTATTGAGCCTGGTACGGAAAAAAAAAAAAAAAAAATCCCACAGAATTTGTAAGCAAAGGCCAGCTATTACATGTGTTGGAATTTGGATTTTAACTATTTTGGAGGTCCAACTGAAATATATTACCTTTATAACTAGACTTGATATATTAACATCTAAAGAGTTTCTAAACTGGTAATAACTCTGGGACATTTGGCAGACATGGATATCATTCTCTCTAAAGAGGCACTTACTCAAGTGAAGCCTTACAGGATTCTCACAGATTACCCCAAGATAAGACAATAGATCCTACTCAAAAACTGCAAGACGTGTGAGGAAAAAAACCCAATAAGAATGTATAGAAATAAAAAAAACTTCTCTAATAAAGTTGCCATGTAATGATTATAAAAACCTTTAAAGTGAAAAGGCAGAAAAAAAAACTCTTGAAAAGGACTTGACAGATTTGTAAAAGAACCTAACAAAATGCATGGGAATTAAAAATATAATTAATGAAGTTTACAACTCAATAAAGGAGAGTCCAAGAGGCAAATCAGAAGCATTCAGCTATCACCAGTTTCTCCAGGGGATCAGAATTAAACACCTGGAAAGCAGCTACTCTTCTAGATGTGAAAAGGCATTGAAGTTGTGAATAGACAAAGACTTGGAAAAAACCCAGAAGCTTTGGAGGGCAAAACAAAGGACAAGAGTGTCCTAGCACTAAATGCCCAGAGGCACAGCAGGGGTAGAGGTAAAAGGGGAAAAGAGAGACAGATCTCAACCCTGTGCAGAAGTGCAGTCTACAAGGACTGCAGCCCTGGATTCTGCACGGGGTGACTGCACTGCGGAAGAACTCTGAATCCCAGCACACGATCACAGCCGGTATTGTTGCGCTCTCTTGAGAAGGTCATGTCTGAGCCTGCTGCTTAGGGCAGCAGTGATGAACCTACGGTAGGTGTGCCATGGTGGGCACACAGAGTCCTCTCTGTTTGCATGAGTGCCCACTCACACCAGCATCACCTCAGCAGTCAGCCAAGCATTGGAGATTCATGTTTAATTGCAGTGTTGGCACTGGGGATAAATAAGTGGGTTTTGGATTGCAGTTCTGGTTCTCAGTCTCTAAAAGTTTCACCATCACTGGTTAGGGAATCAAAGACTTCTACATTTTCCTGCCTGACCCAGAAACCAGAGGCAGTGGTAGCTTCTTTTAGTTGATTGCCACTGTATTTCCACACCTGATATGTCAATACGTAGAAGTTATTACTGCCATTTGTTTTCCTGTTTTTGAGTGGTGCTGGGGATCAGCTCCAGTATCTTGAACACATGGTGGGGGGTGCTACTGAGTGGCATCCCCAGTCCAGTTGTAAGATACCACACCTCCATCCAGCTGAGACCTAGCCCAACTTGCCTTGAAATGTGATAAACACTTTCACTTAAAGAACAGGGGAGACAGGGGCTGGGAATTTAGCTCAGTGGTTCCACCGCCTGCCTTACAAGCACAAGGTCCTGAGTTTGATCTCCAATACCAAAAGAACAGGGGAGATAAAAATCTCCAGTCACTGATTTGGCCCCAACTAGACACAGCTAGAGAAGTCCTGAAGTCCTATTCTTCATTCATGCCCATTGCCATAGGAGAAAGAAAAAAACAACTGTTGTAGACACTATGCCTACAAGTGAACTAAGCATGGGTGTTTCCATAAATTCCAGACTGTACATCTCTGGCAACTCTGGATGAGCAACCATGGAGTCCACCCCAATATACACAGCAGTTTACAGCATGTGTGTCTGAAATACAGGGGGTCCCAACTCTTGAGGGAAAGACAGTCACTTAAGGCACACAGAGTCAAAACCCATTAATCAGAGACAAGCCACAAAGAAACTACACTAACAAGTACATTTGGAATTACCAACACTGCACACAACCAAGGTATGTTGACAAGAGAATGCTACCCACTAACAAGATTCTCAGTTCCATCCCAACAGAGACATAAATCTCAACAGAGGAACACAAGAAATATGAAAAGACAAGAGAAAATGAAATTTTCAAAAGTCATTAGCTCTGTAGAAACTGACATCAAAGATGTTGAAGCAGATGAAATGCTAAAGAATTCAAAAAAGTTTATTTTTTAAGTGATCAATAAATTAAAAAAGAATAGAAATGAGGGCTAGGGATTTGACTCAATGGTTCCGGCACCTGCCTCGCAAGCACAAGGACCAGAGTTCGATCCCGGTACCAAAAAAAAAAAAAGAACAGAAATGAACAGCTAATGGAATCAAGGGAGACAATGGAGGGTATGAAAGAGTAATTCAGTAAAGAAATAGAGATTATGAAAAAGAATCAAAGAGAAATCTTGAAAATTAAAAGCTTAGTCAAAAACTTCAGTTTAAAGCCTCCGCAATAGACTAGACTAAGTAGAGTAGACTAAGAAGAATAAAGAGTATCAGAGCTTGAAGGTAAAGCAAAGTATCACATTAGACAGTAATAAGAAAGAAAATATAATCAATAGATAAGACTTTAGAATAACATTAAAAGACAAAATATAAGAATCATAATACTACAGGGCTAAAGGTGTAACTCAGTAGTAAAGTACCTGGCTTGTATGAGGCCCTTAGTTCAAATGATAGTACTACAAAAAAAGAAAAGAAAGAATCATGGGAATATTAGGAAAAGAAGGGGACCCATGATACAGGATAATGGCATAGAAAACCTATTCAGTTAAATAACTGCAGAAAATTTCCCACATCTTGGGAATTCTATGGACTTCTGGATACTGGTAGCATTTAAAACTCCAAATAGACATGGTCAGAAAAGAGCACCTCCCAAACATGTAGTTAAAGAGCCAAAAATATAGAACAAAGAAAAATTTTTACAGCTATAAAAAAAATACCAGTCATTTATAAAGGCTGTTATCAGAATAACGGTACACTTCTCAACAGAAACTCTGGTGGTCAGGAGGGCCTGGAATGATTTATTTCAAGCCCAGGAAGAAATAACTGCCAACCTAATTATATCCAGCAAGTTTACCTTTCAGAATCAAAGAAGAAATAAAGATTTTCCAAGATAAGAATAAACTAAAAGAATTCATGACTACTAAACCAGCGTTGAAGAAGAAGGAAACCTATACCCAGACAAGGAACCAAGATAAACACAAACACAAGAGCACAGGACAGAATAATCTTACCAAGAGAGAAGTTAAAGAAATGAGAAGTAGGAAATAATTATACATGGCTACTTAATGGGACCTTGCACTTGCAAGGCAGGCAGAACCACTGAACTTTAGTTCTAAAGTGGTTAAAGTAGATTAGGCTCTAATCTTAGAGCCTTTAGCTCTAAGATTAATAAAGAAAAAGTAGACATTGTATTGTGCTTTAGATCTAAAATGTCCCCCCAAAGCCTCAGGAGTTCTAAAGTGAGACATCTGGAAGGTGATTAGATCATGGGTCACTATGCTCATCAGTGGATTAATCTACTGATGAGTTCACAGCTGCATGTGCTGTTAGGATGTGGGACCTGGACAGAAAAAGTGGGTCACTTAGGGCAAGACCTGGAAAAATATATTCTTGTCCCCAACTCCTACTCTCATTTTCTATTTCCTGGCTACCACTGGTTGAGCAGCTTTCCTCCACCATGCCTTTACATCATGCCATTTCTGCCTTACAGCCAGCTGACCACGGGTTGAACCCTCT